CCCGAAAAGGGTTCCTCAGCAGCCACACACAGGAATGCCACGCGCCGCCTGCTCAAGGAGCTGGACGTCTGGCGGCGCGAGCAGGTCGACGAGCGGGGCGTCGAGAGGCTGGGGCCCGTCGGGGACGAGGACCTGCTGCACTGGGAGGCCGTGATCAACGGGCGGGGGATCGGGGGCGGTTACGACGGTACGTCCTGTTGCTTGTTTGCTGTTCTTGTTGTTGCCACAGTCTTCGCGACCCTTTTCCGGTCGACGCAGTCTCGAGGGGGGAAGCGGTAGTTCGAGAGGGCGCGCAAGTCGGGCTTTGGGCGATCGCTAACGTATGTGTGTGTGTGTTCTTAGATGGACGCTGGCTGCTCTCCATTCAGGTCCCGACGACGTATCCCCTCCGCCCGCCGACGATCCGCTTCGTGACGCCCATTGTGCACGCCAACGTTGCGCTGGACTCGGGCGAGATCTGCCTCGACCTGCTGAAGGATGCGTGGACGCCGGCGTATAGCGTGCTCGAGAGCGTGAGGGCTGTGCGGACGCTGCTGGGCTACCCGGGCGTGGACAGCCCGTTGAACGTCGACGTCGCGGCTCTGCTGAGGGCGGGGGACGCGGTCGGTGCCAAGGGGCTGGTGGAATACTGGATCGGCGAGGAGGGGGGCCGGTATAACGGGACGTAAGACATGCCTGGTGGGCAGAGAGTCGAGATGGGACAGGACGGGACGGGACGGGGACAGGACGCTTGGCGCTGGATGACAAGGTTGATGGGCCAAGGGAAAGTGCTTGAATGGCCGATGTATACTGGGCGTTTGGAGGTTCAATTTTGGTTTGCACTGAACGTTGTGAGCAGGTCGTGTAACGATTTTATGAAATCCAATCAGCCGGTGCACAAACGAGAAGCTATTATTGCGAATGACGCGACTCCTGAAAACAACAAAGATTTGCATTGACATCGTGTCTCACTCCCTGGTCTCTGAGGAAGCTTTCCGCAAGAAGCAACGTATGATACCAAGATGTTTTGGCAGCAAATTGCACACAAGACCATCCAACCGGCCTTGATCTCCTGATCCTGTTTTTGGCGAATTTTTTCTTCTTTACATGTGGAAAGGGGGAGGCCCGCTCTCTTTCGCGCGTGTGGCCGGCCGAATTTGAACCTCATGTAAACCCTCTCCCAGACTGAGTGATGTGGATATACTACAATAACTGAACGCCAACCCCTCCGCTTTTCGGGCCTTTAGGCCAATGCTACAAGTGGCCACAGAGTATGGCAGGGAATGAACTCGACGAATCTAATATGAGTTCTGTGGCGAGTAAAGTGAAGGCCATGGCCTTCGAGCAGTATCGTTCCCTGTCATGAAGGAAAATGGCGAGGATGCCATCGGTGGAAATGCATGCTGGTATACCAGCTTTTCAAAAACGCCCTACTCGTTGTAGTGGTACACCTGGGCGCTCGTCAGCAACGGCATCAGGGAGAGTCACGGCATGAGAATACGCACCTTGTAGTTGGGCAGACCGTATGGCTGCCACCCTAACCTCTTGGCCATCTTCGCGAAGCCTTCCGTCTCGATCAAATGATAAAAGGCGAAGGGAGGGAACATGGCGCCATCCCGGTGCACATCAGCCTTGACAAGCAACGCCGTGCCGCCAACGCCATCCAGCATAATCTCATAATGCTCATCCTTGCCCTCCTGTCCCATGTACGCCATGAGCGAGCGGTATGTCGGCATGTCTTTGTACCCCTCGAGCAGGATATCGTCGCGGCCCATCTCGGCACCCAGCTTCTGCGCAATCTCGCTGTCCTGCCAGCTGTTGAAGTCGTAGGCCCGCTCCTCCGTCTTCTTCGTCTCGGCGTTCACGAACTTCTGGAAGCAGTTCGGGACGATGACGGGCTTGTCGTGGCGGGCCAGGTCCTGGATCAGAGTCGGCGGTGTCTCGATGATGTCGGCGTCGAGCCAGAGCACCCAGGACGTCTGGGGCCCCAGCGTCGTGAAGAGGAGCGAGTTGCGCGCCTTGGACATGACGGCGCGGCGGCCCTTTTGGTTCTGCATCTTGTGGCGCTCGCTCTCGTCCTGCGACGTGATGGCTGGCTCGAAATCCTGGCGCAGGATGACGATGCTCTTGAAACGATCCTTTTGGGGGCCGCGCTTCTGCGTGCGGGTGATCTGCTCCTGCAGCGCCGTCGTCGCGGCATTGCCCTCCTTGGTCTTGGGCAGGATGAAGCCCAGCGTGATGAGATCGTGGGGATAGTCGAGGCGCAGGAGGTTGTTCCAGTACTCTTGGTAGAAGCGCACCATGGGCGTCAGGATGAGGATGGACTCTCGGTTGCCGATGGGGTCGCTCGTGATGGTGACATTGTTGAGGTCATAGCGAACGACGGGCGGCGGTTTCCTGTCTGCCTCGGCGACCTTGCGGTAGGGGGCTGTCGGTGGGGAGAGGTGGTGGACGGCAGGGCTGGCGGGTTTCTTGGAGACCGAGTCGGAGGACGAAGAGCCGATGGGCAGGACGAGGAAGCCAATGACGAAGATGCTGAGAATTGCACCGAGAAGAAGGGTGATGGGGTTGGCCTTCTTCAGACGGACTGACCCCATGGGTCGCGCCATGGTGCGGTCTCTCACGCGGGGGCTGACGATACGGAAATCATAAAGCTTGAGGATGCAGCTACAGGCGTTCGGGAGGCTTGGTGTCGGAGGGTCAGAGTTGTCGGGGGCGGTCGCAGAGAGTGTAATGCCGCGTGTTGCAACTGCGGGCCGAGTCGTCGCCGATGCAGTGTCGTCACCGAAAAGGCCGGGGGGGACAAGGAAGGGATCGTGACAGAAGAATACGGAAGTGGCTTTTTGGGAGAATTCAATGTCTCTCTCTTGGAAGGGCCGCGCGTGTACGTGAGGACAGACAGGCAAGGCCTAGCATACTCGAATTGGAGGCCAGCGCACTCGACTCCCACTTTCAGGGGGGCCCCAGGCGAGTCCAGCGTTGCTATTGGATCAATCATGGGCCAGACGGTCTGGCTTGTGATTGGCGGCTGAGGTCAAGCTTTTCGAGCCACCGGCCTAGGGAGGTACTTACTTGGCCACAGGTATGCACTGTACTGTACCTGCCTGTGAGGTTATTACATGACTGTTCACATACTGGAGCTCTGTGCCACCACCTGTTGCCAATCCGGACGGTTGACGATTCCAATGCTGTCTTTGAGCTCGTACGCGTCACCATCATACACCACTTGCATCATGAGCACGTGGGGTAGAGACAGAGACTCGAATATTCTACACGTCGATGCTGGAATAGACGGCCAGGTTGCTGCATTCCTCACTGGGCACAGTCTACGGAAGCCCCTTCGTATTCATCTTCGCGCTAGCATGGTAGCAAGGACCCGATGTACTTGATCGGTGGAAACTAGACAGGTGCCTTGCCCAACACAATCCGGTCATATATCGGGGTATGCCTCCGGGGAAATGTATCAAAGAGAGCCGACTAGCTCCCTGTTCCTCGTGAAGTGTTCCTAGGTACTCAGGTGGGGGTCCATCACAAGGTGCGAGAAATGGAATGCTGAGCATCCTCTGAGAATCCGATTCGCCTTGCCCATCTAACTCTTGCTTGAATCCACTTCTATACCAGTGGTACTAACCTCTCAGTAACTCTTTACCTTCCTCAGTCTCCTGTATGACCTGCCGTAACGGCTATTGTTCATTTCGTTCTCACAAGTGCAAATGGCGCTGAAGAATTGGAAAACACAATGTGGCTGACTCGCGTATGAACCAGCCAGACTCAAAGCAAGAAGCCTATAATAAGCACCATCGGAACCGCTGCCCGAACCCTTGATTGATCTCTTCATCGGCGTTCATGTCATGGTCTGCCTGCGCTGGCATCACCCAGGCCCGGCAAACAATAGACGGCCAAACACCCAGCCCAGGGAACATTGCCAGGCCAAAGTGAAGGCCGGGGCGGCGAACCGTCACCCCCCTGCCTGCAGATATTGGACGATAAGGGCTGTATCAGGACGCCGAGGGGGTTTGGGCAGTAATAGAGTTCGGTCGGTGTGAAGGCAGCGGGTGCATATGCCTAGTAGCTGGCCTGCATCTTGTGAGATCAACTGAGCGCAGGTTGTTTCAATATTCAATTCATATAAGCGAACACACAGGTGAGAACTGTTCTTCACGATAAGTCGACAATGGGTCGATCCAGACGAGTTGGAGATAATGCCAATCGATACAGACGAAGAGCGGTACGAAAGCTTCATCACTTGATGCAGCCATGAACTTGTTCGAATGGTCTCAGTCTAATGAGTGCATCCACCACTCCCTACCTACCTACCTAGGTAGGAAAGCGATCGAGGGCGAGGCTGCCAGTTCCCTCCCCTTATGGCGGCCTCATAAGAACATTGAAATGAATATCTCAACGCTGGGCCCACAATTGACCTTAAATTGTCTGAAACTTCAATAACTTTCGGCGATTATGCTTCAACCACCGAAGTCGCCGAAACAATGACGAATCCGCTGCGCGATTGCCATTCCTCCAGCGGAGCGTTGTAAGCTGTGTGAGGTTCCTACATAGAATTCAGGTGACCAGCCTTGCGTTGGAGAGACCGATTTTTTGCCAGGTACAAGAAAGCCTCACATGCCCAAGAGTGAGATGATAGTACGGTGCTGAGTCGATGAATCAGCTACCCAGCCTCAGTATATACTTTCGGATTACTCGTGGAAGCCCCCGAGTGAAGCGGAATGGGGAATCTCGTCGAGGGTGACAGACGTCGAGGCGTATGCAATAGGTGGGGCATCAAGGTACGATAAGCTCCACGGCGAAACGGCAAGGCTTATCGAACGCATGGTTCTCGGCTCTGGTGAAGCTCCAGCCTCTAGCACCAGCTAAGCTTCCTGACACGCGCTGGCTTCGACGTCAATTGTAACCACCGCAACAACCGAAATAACTCCCGATTTGTCACTGCTTAGCTTGCCAATACAGACGTAACCTCTGGCACATCGACAAGTCTGCTCCAAGCTGTGTTTGCTCTAGGAATCATGTCGGCCAACATGGATCGCAGCTTGGACGAGATCCTTGCGGAGAAGGTAGCTTGGTGGCAGCCTTGCGCGGCAGTCAGTCAACCCTGCTAACGCAAATATAGAAGAGCGATCAACCTCGCAACCGTCGACGTGGTGGTGGAGGCGGCCACCGCGATGGCGGCCGAGATGGAGGTCGTGACGGCGGTCGTGATGGTGGTGGCCGGCCCTACAGGCGCGATGAGCGTTACGACTACCCTCGCGACGGCGTCAAAAAGGTGACTATTTCCCAGCGGCGCCGCTCATCAATTGAGGTTCCTCCAGCTAACGATTCTTCGAATAGGTTGCCCTCCCTCCCTCTCTCTCTCTTGAAGCTCAACAATACGCGTGGCTCGCGACCATCCCTGTGTAGCCAATCCCTCACTGGTCGCTGAACACAGCCATTGTTGCATGACGAGACCTGGCTAATCGATGTTCCTACGCTGCTCAGTCTTACCGCGACGACTCGCGCCACCTTGACAGGTAAGCTGCATAGCTATCTACGCCCCGACACAGACCTATCGCTAACCGCAACCTTAGCGAATGGGTTCATGACCGTTACGAAGAAGACTACAGTACAACATCCCCCAACACCACCTCTGTCGATTGCCAAGTCCTAACGACGCCTTTCAGACCCCCGACGTTCTGCGCCTCGCAACCGCCGAGAGTCCCCAGGACACCTGTACGTCCATCAACTGATCAAAGTTGACGTCTGGCTGACCACCGGAACTTCAGTGACCCTACTTCATCAAAGCTGAAAGTCGAAAACCTCCACTACGAACTCACAACTGAGGAGCTTGAGGTGGGAATACGCAAGCAGCTGAAGTTTCGCGCATGCGCTAACAAGAAGCGAAGGGCTTGTTCAATAGGATTGGGCCTGTCGTCAGGTTGAATCTTCGCTACGACCGCGCCGGTCGATCAGAGGGCGTCGCATATGTCACTTATGAGCACCCTGACGATGCCCGGCAGGCGATTCGGGAGTTCGATGGTGCCAACGCCAATGGTTCGTCCAAGGCTCGCAACTCATTGGCGTAAGGACATGGACGACTGACAACTTCACAGGCCAACCGATCCGACTCTCAATTGTGCCCAATGGACGTGATTCGCGCACCCGTGGTGGCCGCAACCCCTTCGACACTGCCGTGATGCCGGGCCGTCCCCTCGCTGACCGCATCTCAGTGCCGTCTGGCCGGTCCCGGTCTCTCTCGCCGTCGCGCAACCAGGACCTCGACGACGCTGCTACCAAGGGCATTGATCGCTATGTACCTGGCAGGCGCTCCCGTAGCCCTATGCCCAGACGACGCGGCGGCGGCGGCGGCGGCGGACGCCGTCCTGGTGCTCGCAGAGAGGAGGGCAGGGACCGGCAGGGAAGCCGCGGCCCCGAGCGCACAAGGGGCGGCCGGCCCAAGAAGACGGCGGAGGAGCTCGACGACGAGATGGCGGATTACTTTGGCGGGGGCTCTGCTGGCTCTGCCGAGACTGGCCCTGCTGAGAAGACGACCGCCCCTGCTGCTGTTGATGATATGGATATGATTGAGTGATGTAGCAGAAAAGCTAGGGGATTCCGGGCCGGCTGAGACATCGGAAGTTACGCTATACATGTAGATCGGATGCTCCTCCAGCAAAAACAATGAAAGATTGTGGTATTACGAATTTTGTCACAAAGAACTTGGATAGAGTCGATGACGTGGCGGCTTTCAAGAGGCAACATAGCGATGCTACTGCTGATCTGGGGAGCCAAGGCTTTTACATTTTGTTTCTTCACTTTGTGGGCCGCTAACGTCGCTTTCGAGTCCGAGAGAGGAGACTCGTGAATATAATATCCCGGCAATATCCCGGCAATCAAGGTCGGGTTGGTCTTTTAGCTCGCATGTGTACCTCACACGATTTTGCTCACAGTACGTGCAGATAGATCCGCTTGCCGGTAGTCATCAAGTTCCGCCAAAATATCACTCCATCTACAGCTATCATACAGATGAGCCTTCGCCAGCATAAAAAACTAGGTGTACACTCAAACTCGGTGTGTTCTGAACACCAAGTAAACAGGCAGCCTTGGAAGCATGCCGAAGCACGGATGGCGTCTAATATCAACCCCCCAGGCTACATACCTGTGTGGTCATCCCCTTCTGGAATAGGCCTCGTTGAGATGTATGACTCGGGGATGTTGATCTTGGTCTGTAGCCGCCCCGTGTCGCCATTCTGCGGCCCTGCAGCATCCATGTTGTAGACATACATGCACTCTGACGACACTGCACCGAACTTTCCAGGCAGGATGGTCCAAGACACGCCACCGAGGCTCACCTTGGGCTTCTCGTGAATGTGTTTCGACACACCAAAGGCGTCGAGCTCACCGCATATGTGTTCCGTCAGCGAAAAGTCGGCCTGGCGGGGCTCAGGCAGCTCTCCGACCGCCGTGGTGAAGAACTGGAGGGTCGAGCCCGGGGCCACGACGCCAGAGTCGAGAGGCGCGTCCTCGCCGTCGCCCCCCTTCTGGCCGTGGAAGGAGCGGATGAACGACTCGAGGTCCTCCTCGCCCGTCAGCGAGAACTGCGTCTCGGTGTCGAGCGACAGCAGGCCCTGCTTCTTGCCCCAGCCGCCGCCGCCGCTGATGACCTGGAAGATCCGCTGTCCGAGGGCGAGCCCCGGGCCGAAGCGGTCCCAGCGCCCGGCCGCCCTGAGTTCGTCCTGGAGGCTCGCGTCTTCGCCCATCTCGTCCACCGACGTCTGGTCCACGCTCTTGACGATGTCCTTTCCGATCTCGGGCGGCGAGACGAGGGCCCAGACGCCCAGCGGGCCCTTGGGGAGGGCGTGTGGCCCGTCGACCCTGCGCCGGCGGTTGAAGAGTTTGGTCACGGCGGCCTCGAGCTCCTGCGACGCTGGCACCGTCTTGCCGTCGACGTCGATCTGGCGGACAATGTTGCCGAGACCGGAGACGATGGTGCGGGGCGCGGTGATCGGGTTCATGAGAATACACGGCGTCGTCGCCGCGGCGTCGGCGCCCGTGCAGACGACCTCGCGGCTCGGGCTCGTGACCATGTCTGACATGGTCAAGGACGAACCCGGGCCCTCTCTGCGCCAGCGACTCGCGAGGAGCGTAAACGGCCGGCTGTTTTGGAAGATGGTGTTGGCGAGAGGCAGGGTGATTGTCGTTGCGTTCCCGCCCACGTTGGCATCGGCCTTGTTGACGCGGAAGGTCAATGCCGCCTTATCGGGCTGGCCCTTCACCGGCGCGGGCGATGCATTGACTTGAGCCCAGAGGCCGGGCAGGAGGTGATCGAGCGGTCCGGAAATGATGGAGAAACCGTGACGAGCTGGCAGGAGGGGGTACTCCGGCCAAAGGCCGTCGACAGCGGCGGCAAGGACATTGATCTCTGCTGCATCACCATTGGCCTTGGCAGATTTGGACGAGAACGACTCGAGGAGATTGGCCATGAAGGTCTTATCAGTCAGCCATGAGGCGTGGTTGCGCGACGCGAGTATCACGACGGCGTTTTGCCCTTTGGTACGGCGAAGGCCGGATGAGTCGGCTTCTTGGGCGAGTTTTTCGACGAGATCATGCTGTTTGTGTGAGCACCTCGAAGGAAGCATGTGTGGAGAAGGCCAGTGAGCATCTCATACCTTGTTCCCGGCACCGTAAACTGTGAACCTGCTCAGAGGTGACGGGTTGAATGCACCGCCGCGATTCGTCGTAGAGAGACGGGCGGCATCGGACAAGCCCGCAGACGAAGCTCTCTCGACCAACCGCTTCAGCCAGGATGACATTGTCTCTTGAGATGGGAATATGAAAGCAGAGGCGGGGATCTTGAAAAAGGGTGGCAGCCCCTGAGGAAAAAAATATGAGGGAAGAAAATGGGGCTCCGCACGCCATCCGTTGGACCATGAATTAGACTCCAGATGAGAGATTCTTTCCGCCCAATTTCCAATCTCTCCGATTGAAAGAGCTCGCCAGTCGCGCTATCGACTGCGCATAATCCGTCCGGTTAATGAAGCCAGTCCCGGTGTCACAGAATGCGCGTGTCACGAAACGAAGTCGCAGATGTGGCTGAAGCTGTGGTGGAGTCGTGACGTCGACGAGAGCGTGGCTGGTGCACCCCCTCCGATACAGGTTCACAGTGAGGCTCGACATCGTCATCTTGAACGGTTACACCATCTAACGAACTTCGAGCACAAATTTGGATATCTGGATCTACTGAAGAACTCTGAGAGAAGTCTATTTGTACACTTGAGTCACACGGCCTGCCAGAATCCGCCTTATCATGGCTACCAACAGCGGACGACCAAACAACAGTGAGTGAAGCAAGCCAGCCTTGCAGAAGAACACGACAAACTAACTTCGATCAGTCGGCGCGCCTGAGGGCCTAGAAATCAAGCAGCAATCACCTCCACCGCTGTCGAAAGAGGTGAAGGCCGACATTACGGACAGCACGGCGTCTTCATCAGTGCATGCTTCCGGGCAGGATGCTGGGGCCGCGAGCAACGCACCGGCATCAGTAGAAGCGCCACCACAAGGCAAGAATGAACATGCTCCGGCAGGGGAGGCTTCGTCATGCTGAGCAACACCACGCGAACGCCGGGTCGCATATTTTGAGCGTCAGGTTTGGGAGCCGTGTTGGTCTGGCAGAGGCAGAAAGTGTAGCCTGCTATTCGCACAAGAACACATCATGTATATGCCAAGCTTCTTGTTCATAAGTACAACTGTCGGATCGTGATTCATGAGGATACGTGATATCAAACGCGCCACAACCAACCCCTTGACTCGGTATACAGTCGGGGACACCGGCTTGGCAGGAAAGCCTTCATGCCCCGTGCCCCCCTCCCCCCGCAAACAAGACCCGAACGTACCCTATCTTCTCAGTCCGCCACCGCCGTCATTCCGCCCTCGCCCCAGCCCGATGCACAATAGCCTGAACCCAGAAAACCCGCCAGCCAAAACCGCCACGTAACGAGAGACGCGAAACAGGGAAAACTGACGTGACCGAGGCCCCGAGAATCCCCAAAGCAAAACCCCAATTACTGCTTCTTCTTGTTGGCAGCGCCGCCCTTGCCAGCGGCGGCGGCGGCCTCCTTGTCCTTCTTGTCGAGGGCCTCAATCTCCTCGAGCTCCTTGCGCTCCGCGTACGCCTGTCCGACCTGCAGCACGAGGACGCCAACGAGGACGAGGGCGAGGATGGTGTTGCTCGCGGACAGGACCTTGAGGCTGTCCTCCTTGCCGAGGACGAGGCCGTCGCCCTGGCCGGCGTTGCCGTTGGCCTTGACCTCCCAGTCGGGGTCGTCCCAGATGCCCTCGCCGACGGCGCGCAGGCCGCGCACAATGTTGGTGAGGTAGACGCCGACGCCGATGAAATAGAGGACGAGGGAGGCGCCGTCGAAGAGCACGTTGGCCTCGCTGGCCTTGAAGAGCTTGACGAAGAAGCCGATGAAGCCGACGAGGATGATGCTCGTCAGGAGGCGGCCGATGAGCGGGGGCGCGGCGTAGATGAAGCGCAGGTGCGTCTCAAGCTGCGCGTAGTAGGCTTCGGGGACCGGGGCCGAAGTCCAGAGGAGGGGGTAGTCGTAGGGGAACGAGGCGAAGAGAATGCCGAGGAAGAAGCAGACGGCTGGGCGCGAGGAGCAAAAGTCAGTACAAAGCCCAAACGTAGCAAGTGGCACCGGGAAAACACGTACAACCGACGATCAAGAAGGTCCCGAAAGGGCTGGAGGGTTTGGAACCGGCCATGATAGCTGGGAGACGGGCGCGACAAGGTGAGGAGAATGTGTGTCGCAATGGGTAGTTGACGCTCTCTAGGTGACACGTATCTGTGGAGAGAAAATGATCAATGGCAGGATCCAGCAAGAAAGAGGGTCATGGATTTTTTCGCGACCTGCCTACCTAGATAAGTAGGCTGTTGGGAGTCATGGGTCGAGTCGAGCTGAGAGACGGGCTGGTGGTCCACGGCGCGCGCTGTCGTGCTGTCGTTTGCGGCTCCCTCCCTGTCTTAGGGGCCGAGTCGTGCCCTCGTCTCAATCTCCATCTGTCAGCAGCTCTGAAGCTAATAAGGTACCCTACCAACCCTAGGTACCTACTCAGGCAGTCAGGTACCCAAAGATACCTATCTGAGGTGCCTAGGTACAGCCCGGCGGACCCGGAGCACTGCGTCTGGGCGAATGGGCGCATGCGTTGGACCCAGAAACGCTAAGCTTATCAGGAAGGTGCGCTTGGCATTGGCGTCTCGACTCTCTTCGACGCCGTCTCGAATGCACCAAATCGTGACGCTTGCACATGTCGTGACAAATGTCTTCATCCATGTCATAGTTGCACAAGTAAATATAGGTAGGGTATACTATTCCATTGGGACAAAGACACTTGCAGCTTGCGCAGTACAGCTCACAAGCCAAGATCGCTCTCGCAATGCTAAATCATGCCATCAAAACCACTAGATGCGTCCCGCCAGCTTGTGCTGATGATCGTATATCGTACAACCAACCCCCTTGTCGGCATGCCGCCCCATCTGCCCCTTGACCATCTCGCAACCCGTTTCGCCAGCTAGTAGCGAGCCTGAAATTATACCGAACCTTCCAGTAGCCTGAAAGTCATGTCCAATTGGCTCGTTTAGATGACGGCCTTGGGATGAGGCTTGCCCATCGTCAACTGACTGAGGGACAGCGTCCTGGCAGCCTTCTTGCGCTGACCGTCTTCATCGTCCTCGTCCCCGTCTCCGTCGCGCAGCTCCTCCCCAAACGCACCGTACCCGTGGGACTGCTCCTCACGAGGCGTGGCATATGTTTCCGAGTAGTCGTCCTCGTCAACGCCTGCCAGACCTCTCGTTGCGATCCCCGAGTCTTCGGGCATCAAGGGTTGATTCTTGTGTCCGTTTCCATACTCGTATTCCGGAGTTTGCTGGTCAAATGCTGAGACATCACCAAAAGATCTCGCCGTCGGAGGAGGCTCGCCGTGGATCGAGGCCCAACGCTGCTTGGGCGTAGAGGCCGCGACGGCCTCCAGTCTTTGTGCCAACATGCGCACTTGAGCCTCCAGTGAGTGGCGTGACGCCCTCTCAGCTTCCAGCAGCCTCAACAGAGTGGAATAGTGCTCCGTGGTCAGCGGCCCGCTCACGCCCTGGGAAATGGTAGGAAGGCTGACGGCACCGCGGATTGTCGAGTCCGAAGTAGGCCTGTTTGCTACCGAAGGGGCAGTGAGCTGTGTCGCACTGTCGTTGTCTCGCACACCTTCGAGGAACGAAGCACGCGAATCCCGCGAGCACATCGAGCCATGCCGTGAGGAGGATGACTGCATGCCTGGGACGGCCGTCATGGTCGATCGGTTAGGCGTCGGTAAGGAGGACGGCGGCCTGTGGAACTGATCTGGCTGTATCCTGGTTCCAGGGGCCGCATTGCAGAGCTGGGTTATGATCTTTTCAGCCCGTCGCATCTTTGCCTCGAGAGTATCGATCCTCGTTTCAAGGCTAGCTGCAGCTGTGATTTTCATGCCAGCCATGACATTCAGGTGTGGCATATTGCCAAAGTTGAATGGTTCAAGGGGCGTCTTGGGTGGGGCGTCTTGTGTTGCGGCCCCGGGTGTGCCCGTCTCGTCGTTGTCATGGTCCGGTGCGTTGGATGACGTTGGCGACATGAAGGCCGGATCATAGCTTTCCCGCCAGTAACGGATCTCATCACTCCTCCGCCGGACATCTGCACGGTCATCTTGGGGACCTGCAATGCCGCTCAGACTTCTAGACCGGCGCTTGCCCACGACATCGCTGGTGATGGCTCGGCCAATTTCCTCAGGATCTTCGTCCATGGGGAACAGTCGGCTCCCTCTAGCGTGCGTGCTTGCTGGCCGTGGCGATAATCCACCGATTTCACCATCCCGTGGCCCGAACAGCTGTCCTGTGGCGGTTGCCGCCCGTCTCCTTCCGGAGAGGGTAGCATCGGCGTGCATAGAATTGCGAGCACTCTCGATAGCTGAAAAGTCGTTTGGCCCAACCGAGTGTGATCGGAGAGCTCTGTCATATTCAGTAATGGGCAGTGAGGCAGCTCGCTTCGCGTCTGTCTCCTTCTTGGGTTCACGAGCAAGAGCAGACGGGTCCTGCGTGGCACGGTTAGCAAGATTTCACTTTCCATGGCTAACCAGCGATGCTGGTAACTTACACTGCGGTGCTGAGATGGACTGTTATAGGTCGAGGCACGCTCTGGCGGCGCTGAGAGGCTGGTGGTCTTCTTCTTTCGCCCAAAGAGCTTGCTGAATGCGCCTCGCAGTGTTGACTTTTTCCTCTGCGGCTTATCCTTGCTGTTGTTCGTGTTTTCCGTTGCTTCGCTGACAACTGAGTGTCTTAAGGTGCTCGGTGGATTGGTTCTTCGTTGTGATTGTGGAGACCCTCTGGGTATTTGGTGCGTAGGTGCTGATCCCGTTCCTGAACCCGAAGCGGAACCCGTCACAGATCCTGATCCTGATCCTGAGTGCGCCATGACTGAGTCGGTGTTTCTGGTCGGCACAGCCTCGGGTTGCGTAAACGGCGCGCTCGTCTGGTGGCCTGCTTCCGTTTGCAACTGCCTCTCCCGATCCTCAGCGCTCAACGGGGTAGCAATGCCGGTGCCTGGGTTGCGCATGGGAAATTCGTCGTCTGTGGGGGTTGGTATGGGAATGGGGCCAGAGATCTTGCCCCGAATGGATTGACCGGTCTTGGGACGTGAGGCAGCCTGACCTCCGGCGCCGGCTGGTTGGGGTTTGAATATGCTGACTTTCATGACGTCGATTGGACGACCGGGAGGAAAGCTGGCACTGCTGGCGTACAAGTTGTAGGACAGCCCGGGTCGTGGCTCCGAAGGTGGTTGACGTTGGTATATGAGTGACGACTACCTCGGCCAAGAGAGCATATTGGGTTGATATTAGAAATTAGGCAGCGTGAAGCGGCGGCAATGCTGATTGATGAAGTCGGCGAGTTGCTGCCTCACTGGGGAAAGGCGCCAAGAACTATCGGCGCCGTCGCTGTTCGCGTTGGGCACTCTCGTTGAGTGTGGACTGCCAGGCCGTGATCTATGCGTCGTCGGCCCAAGTCATGGCGCATATGACCAGCAATGCAACACGTCAAGAAGACGCAAGGAAGAGGGGGCCAGAAAATGGGAGGTCAGAGTAAAGAGCGAGAGAGAGAGAGCGAGAGAGTAGAGACGAAGAGGTCCAGAAAGGTAACAGGCACAGACGCTGACGATGTGCGAGGGTGACCCTGATCAATCAAGATCGAGAAGCAAGCCCGCAGGCGGCTGAGGAGAGAAGTGTGGGTAGGATGGAGGATAGAGGGCCGAGGTGGTAGCTGCGGGAGTCTCGAGGGAAGATCCCAGCCGCCAGTGCGTCATGTATCAGAATGGCGCCAACAGTGCAGGTCTGCGACAGGCTGGCCGAGCTGACGTCTGATGCAGTGCATGCACACCGGGTGATAGGCCAGATTTGGGGAGTGGGTTGATAACAGTAAGGTAGGGACTTGTACCGAGGAGGAGAGGACGAGTTTGCGGAGACACGGGACGACAGGAGAAGAGGGAGATAAAAATAATAAAATAATGAAAAAGGAGCGGAGAGAGTTCGAGGACGAGAGAATTAAGAGACAGCGAGAGGGAGAGATGTGCGGCCACGGGACAAAGAATGAACAAAATGAAGGGACTTCCGGGTCGGATTGCGGGTCGCTCGCTGGTCAGGGTCGGTCAGATCGATGAGACCAGGTCGGCTCGTGTGTTTGTGCTGTGGAGGATGGTGATGAGCAGAACCAGGCAAAAAGAAGGAAGCAGGCACAGCGCTGGTATGAAACACGGCCTTATGCAGCATGAAATGCCAGGGAAGGACTGGTACGACTGGACAGAGCAATGGAGATGAAGCTCGGGACCTTGGGACCACGCGTGGATCGAAGAGGGGAACTTACCGGCGCCAATGGTTTTCTATTAAATGCCAAATGTCGATGTCTAGCATAAAGCCATTGACGCACCCCTGCGATCCCGCCTTTGGCAAGGCGTTGAGCTACTGGTACAGTACTCGACAGCTATCGGCGCATGCCATCCACGCCGTCACGTTGCGGCATGGGACGGCATGGAATGGGTGGATAGGACAGTCCTGTACCTGTCCATGCCCATCCATTGGATCTGGAGACGCCTGGGATTTGCGGTGGTGTGGTCGGATGATGACGAGGGAGCGGCGAGTCGACGCGAGACAAGAGCCCTGAATAAAGGGGGGGGTGGAGGGATTGCCTTGGTCGGCATGCTGTGGTTTCAACGACACACCCCACTGTCTGTCTCTCTGGGGTGCCTGTGAGAAGGGACGGACAGAGCTGCGTCAGGACGAGATGCTCTCGTGAGTTTGACACGACATGGGGTACCGGCTGTGCAGTCTGGCCGCCATCTCGAGAGAGTATGATCATGGCATCACGAGACACAAACTGTTCAATGCAGACATTCTGCATAAGGAGACGCCTACTATGTACGTACGTACGTACCTACCAACCTACCTTAGGTACGTAAGGTTAAGGTACCTACCGTACCTACCTTGCCTACTTGGTACTTGGTAGTAGCGAAGGGGCAGCCAGTAGTCCAGAAAAGAGCTGGACGTTGACTAGGTTACTTCCTTGGAAACATTGAATCTCTCCGGAGCTCTTCCTCTCGGAGCGCCACAGAGGCCCGTGTCAGGTGGGAGGAGTCTCTCCCGGGGTTCTGCACCCCAAGGCCATTCCCCTGGAAGGCACCCCGTTCGGGGGGGAAGAAAGGAAGCCACGGCCATGGGGAGGGCAGGGAACACCAAGGAGGGTGCGCCACCAGCATCCGAAAGTGGAGAAGGGGTCACAGGGGTCTTTCCTTTCCCCTTCCTCAAGCGGACCTACCACAATCGTGTCTGTCAACCGAAATGGCACAGTCCTGATGAGCCCAAAGAGAGCTGCCATGTACACAACGCCCCGGCAATGCAGATAGGAGCTATCAACGCCATCGCCCACCGGATCAATGGTCTACACGGCACACGCCGCTCGTGGCTGGCGTGACGTTTTGGCTGAGCTGAGCCGAGCTGAGCTGAGCAGTTGACAGCAATGAGCAAAAGCATAAGACGCGCCCTGCTAGCACCATCCACATACGGCCACTCTTCCGATGCTGACCCTTCTAGCGTACATGATACAAGTACTGCTAGTGGGGGTGGTTCCTTGAGCGAGCTACCCGCGAGCCACCTGAACGAACTTTCGAACTTTGCCTCTGATAGATACCAGGTTTCCAAACACGCAAAGGCCCCGAAGATGGAGCTGAAGATCCGGCACGGTTTGACATGGGATACACGGTACACGCGTGCCATACACGATTGATTGGGACGACGGCGCCCAGACCGTTTGGGGCCAGACTCGCGAATATTTGCCCCTCACCCTCGCCAAAAAAGCTCTTTGTCTACTGTACAAGTACGAACCGAACGACTCCGCAAACCACTTTGGCTCTGCCTCTGCAGCCGAGCCAAGACTGGCAATCAACCCCCCAGATCATGACCCCGTGGCCCTCTCCCGATGCAACCTGATGGCCGGATTTGCGTGCTGATCGACCATTCACCATAGCAATCCGGTCTCCCTTCTCTGTGGCTGCCACCCGTAGGTGTCTATTTCGAGTTGGTCCCAAAGCTCATCTATCCTCCAACCCTGCTTTCCTCCCCCTCGACAGACCTGGCGATGTTACATGGTGACCTCGTCAAACCCCGAATCCATCCGCCGACCAGGTGGTCAAAGCCCTCAACCCCCGGTCCCCGTTGTTCGACCAGAACCGATGGCAGTGCGTTGGCTCTTGACTGTCTGGTCTCGACAGCCGACAGCCGATGGCTGATGGCCAGCGGCTCAATGGAAGTGTTCCTCAATAGAACCTCTGTGTCCTCTGCCATGGCGAAGGGAAAGCTAACCCCCGGAACTCAAAAGCAAGAAGCCAGTCAGAGACACATCGTATTGTCAAGATAGCATCCTTGCCGGATGCTAGCCATGCTACCTAGTTGACAAGCAGCAAATCGTTGCGCAGTATCAGCAACGCCAGCTGCATTGATGGGCCTTGCACGTTCAGCCTATGGCGCATGAGTCGCTTGGTAGGCGCCACCGCTCTGCATATACGCTGGCCTTGCAATGCGGCAGCACGATTACACCAGTCGTTGCTTTACGGTACTACCTTACCCAGACTGGCATTATTTGCGTAGGAAGCCCACCACCACAACGATGATCAATGCATTGGTTCAGAGCTGCTGCGGCTCCTGTTCGGCTCGCCACTAGACATCCCTGATAGACCAGTTCAACTGGTCTGTGTTGGCCGCATCGTGCATGTCTCAGACATTCGATGCACGCCGTCGCACGTTCCCGCTTGGATTAGTTGAACCACGGTGCTGCGGCAGCAAATAGCAGACGCTGTCAAACCTGGTGGTACATGTAGGCCAAATCAACAACATGACGACGTCGTCAAAGAATTGCAGCTTCATTTGCTGAACCAACAGGGACTCGTCTCGATGACACCCAAACACATGGAGCCACGGCTCCTTGCAACAGGGCGGTTTGATCTGCCAAGGATGATGAGTACGGAGCATCATATCGCGAGGGATAGCATGATAAGATCGCCTTGACATGTCAAGGGCCAACGTTTGGCAGGCCCAGAGGGCCCGGCCGCGGGCATGCCAACGGAGCATGAATGGAACTGAAGCTTCGTGGATTAATGAATGGAGCTAAAAGCAACCAATCAATCTCGCGAACGGCCAATCTGACAGCACCACCACCCCAACACAGCGCCGTCACTACTAGCTTTGCTTCCCGATTATGCACTATCAAGGGGGCTGCTCACATTTGGTACGCATAGAGAAGTCGAGGGGGCAGTGCAGAAAAGCATGATAGACAACAGACCGCCTTTCGCGTCGGTCCAAAGCTATCCGCCGAGCTTCTCCCTAGGTTCTGAAGCGCCAAGGCACACGTGCCCGGCGTCAAACTTGTTCAAACGCCTCGCAGCACACGCGATTTTGAAGGAGAATATGACCCCCGCCATTGCGAGCGCGCAAACGACCACTCCATCTCAGGTCCAATGACGACGACATGGACGTTCAGGTCGTCGGGCAAAATATGATTCGGCAGGAGGGAAGTTGCGGGCCCGGCCACGAGGACAGAGGTCGCAGAGCAAGGGTGGCACAGGCTTATGTTACCTGAAACATACAGGCCAGGGGTCGTGTACCACAGCCGGGATCAGCTTCTAAGCGACAACTTCGTGACGGCCGTCTCGACACTCACAAAGGCACGGCGCCAACGTTACTCCACAGGCTTCCTCCCAGACTCCGGGAACTGGCGGGCCAGCTCGCTTGGATGATGTGCCCGTGAATTCTACGAGTGCCATGCATGATGCGCGAACTGTTGGCTCCCGAACCAGCATCATCAAGAGGCATAAAATGCTCATGTCAATCCATGAGATCCGCTGGAGCGAGTGATCTCTGGGACGAAATGCTTCGGGTCGACCGGTCGTTGCGATCTCCTAGATCGTCTCAACATTATCCCGCGGGCCGTGGCGCGAACCAGACCATTGGCGTATCAGCTGCGCCTCGTCCGTCCCAAAAGTCGAGCGGACAAGGAATCAGGCCTCCTGGAGCACTGAGACGTCTGGATACCTCAGATCGGCATTCTCTTCCAGGAACTCTATCCACCTCCTCAAAAATGCGCTTCCTCTGCAATCAAGAGTCAGCTTGCCTTTCCCCTCACATGTCAATTTCACAGCCTGTCTCAGGAGATCTGTGCCACGTCTCGGCAGGAATTCGCCTGCGCAGCTGGGCATGCAAGCTGGAAGACTAAGTCGTTGCAATCTTACCTTTTGACTGTTTCTGAATCGCCAACAACGGTCAACGAACGCTTCGGTCGCGTCATGGCCACTGACCCTCGTCAATCTCACGCGTCCATGGATAGATAGCGTCAGTTTTGAGATGTTGCAGACGGACATACCGTTTAGTCTTCGTTTCTCTGCAAGGAAGCCCACCTCACCGTCTCCGTTACTTCGGACGAGACTGACAATGACAGCCTCCTTCTCGCGTCCTTGGAAGCCGTCTACAGACCCCAACTCGATGCCTGGGAGCTCTTCTTTTAATGGCGCCAGCAGCGCGAGCTTGATTTGTCTATTGTTAGTACCGTGAAACAAACTCTCTTGTGACATGGCGGGGAGGGCACCCATTCGCCAGCACTTCTCACCTGGGCATTGTAAGGCGTGACAACCGCGATGTCCTCGGGTTTGATCCCCGCTTCGACCAGCTGGCGTGCATGCTGCCGAACAACTGCTGCCTCCATTTCGTTGCTTTTGCTCTCGCCGTTGAGACTTAATTTGGCCTTCTTCGCCGCATCGTCGCTGTCTTCTTCACTTTTCTCGGGGAAGTCTCCGCCCTGCGTGTCAATAAAGACAAGAGGCTCATTTGTATCTTCCGTGTCCTGTACCGCATATGGCATGTCTTTGAGGAGGCGCGTCGCAACTGATTCAGCAGCCACCAACCTTCCTTCGTAGAGCTCATCGGAGGGGAACCGCATGATAGCCTCGTGCATGCGATACTGCGTTATAAGCATTCTCTTGATTGATGGTCCATGCAGGGAAAGAAGTCTGTCAAAGAGGGTCGTCTCAAGCGTCATGCCTTTGACTATCGGCACCTCTTCCTCGTCTTTCTTCTTCGGCATGTTGGTTTTGGAGTTCAGCGACTTGATCGTCGGCGGCAACTGCAGGTGATCGCCCGCGCACACGACCTTGTTCGCCCTCAGCAGCGGTACCCAGCACTGTGCTTCGAGGGCCTGGCTCGCCTCGTCAATGATGACGACGTCGAACTTTTCATCCCGCAGCTGGAACCCGCCGGCCCCGTGCAGAGTCGCCAGAACGACCTTGCTGCCTCCTACCAGCTCGCGCAAGCATCCGCGCTCGCGCTCGCGGTACTCTTTTCGCAGGTCCTTGAGATCCGCATAGATGGCGCGGCGATCGCGGCCGGTGCGAGCCTTCTTCAGGGAGGCCTGCTTGGCATCCATCTCGGCACGGACGTCCTGGACAATGGCCCCGGCTGAGGAGGTGTGCGTCAGGACATCGAGAGAGTGAGCAAGAACGGAGGGGAGGAGACGGGCTGGGTGGCCGAGGCGGATGATGGGGATCTTATGGGGGGCGAGGCGCTCGACAATGTTGTCGACGGAGATGTTGGAGGGGCCGCAGACGAGGATGCGCTGGTCGCGGCGGACAAGCTGAAGGATGAGCTCGATGAGGGTGTGAGTTTTGCCAGTCTGACTGCGTGTCAGTATGAAGGCGCAGCATCGTGGTGGATGCTGTCTCCTCGGAGTGATCACTTACACCCGGAGGGCCATGGATGAGTGCCACCTCCCGCGACGCGAGGGCAAAGCGGATGGCGTCCTTTTGTGAATCATTGAGAGATGGATCGATCCATTCGAGCTTGCCAAGTTCCCCGTCTGCTGCGAGATCCACTGGTATGGGAGACGGACTGGACAATCCGAAGAGCACGCGCATGAAGCTCGAGTACTCGGCCTCGGGCATCTTTTGCAGCTTCTCCATGGTTTGGTTCATCCTGGTAGTCAGTCAGCATCGCATGGTAGACCAAACTCGGATTCCGTTTCTGTCCCCTCCCCTCTCTCTCTCTCTCATATGACTAGCCGAAATAAAGACTGCACAACTCACCGTTTGTACGTGACCTCATCCGCCAGCTTGACAATCCAAAGCCGACCACTCCAGTCCCCCTCTTCCTCCCCCTCAAGCGCAACAGTGACGCACTCCCTCCGCACCCTCGCCACGACGGCCCTGCCGCCCTTGGCCTCGAGCTCCCTGAGCTCCCTCTTCTTGGGCGCGCCAGCCGGGCTGCTCAGCGACGAGCACAATGTCCCCAGGGCCGCAGCCCGTGCTCGGGCAGGTCCTGCGTCTTGGCGGTGGCCGGGTCGGGGGCGAGCTCGAGGAGGGTGCGGCCGCTGGGGCTGGTGCGGCGGGCCTGCGGCAGGAGGGAGGTCAGGGCGAGGCCGGCGCGCTGCAGGGTCGCGGGCGCGTGGGAGGCGAGCAGCGTCGAGGTCTGGGCCAGGTCGGCGGCGAGCTCGCTCGAGAGGAGGGCGAGCTGGGTGGAGGCGAAGAGGGGGATGGATGGCGGTTCTTCTTTGGGCGCCATGATGGAGGACTTGGTGTACGGGGCCGAGGGCACCGTTTTGGTGTGTATATGTGTGTATGTTGGGAAGCTTGATGATGAGCTTTCTGTGGAGGGGTTTGGCGGGGTCGATGTATCGCGGGGTTGGATGCCCGTGTCGGTGTTTGCAGAGCCAACGGGTTGGAATTAAGTAACCGTTGAAGACGTTGGCGGGAAGAACGCCTCTCTCATGTTCCACTGACGTCACGTCGCGACAAGCACCGAGTACGTCCGTTGAGATCTTGCATGGGCCTGTGATTTGGTCGAGGGTGAGGTCCAGATGGAGCTGTGATGATTTGGTCCACATGCTCATGCTCATTCCCGCTCCACTTAAGTCTGCAGAGCAACAAGGTTCAACGCAGAAACATCCACAACAGCGAGGCATCTCTTCCAGTCGCATTGAAGCTAACAGGGCGTACTCTGAAAAGAATTCTTTCTTGATATCTCTGCTCCTTGGCTAAAGCCGACTATTAACTCCCCGCGAAACACATCCGTTGAGGGTCACCCAGACCAGATATTCAACACCCTAAATCAAGACGCTCCATCATCGAACTGCTCACATAATTACATAGCAACAGATACATTCTGCTATCCTGGTTAGACGGCTACGCCTGCGACCGCGGATGCACTACGATGACGACAATCAAACTCGCAATCATGACGGCAAACGCTACAAAGGCGACAGCGATGATGGTTCCACGACTGGCGGGGAACTTGCCCGCAATGATCCATCGCTGCACGTGGAAGTAGCGGTGATAGCCCAGGAAAAGGATCACGATGCTGATCCCAAGGAACGTGGCGCCGAGGGGCTTACCCAGGCGCCGCAGCGTCACTGAGGCAGCATCCTCCTTGTCGCCCGAGCTGTTGGGCAAAGATGTGTTGAGACGGAAGAGTTGCGTTACGGCGATGCCTATAGAGGCGAAGGCAAGTGATGTACGCAGCCAGGCGAGAAAGGTACGCTCTGTCGGCTCACATTAGGACACCTGAGACACCTGCTGAGGTGTGGGGCTGTGAACATACCTAGAGCTAGGTGATCGCGAGCGACGCTGCCCTTGTTCTCGAGCTCGATGCTCTGAAAGTGGGAGAAGAGCCCACCGTGCCACGTTGATTTCTTTTCCGGCTTCCGCGCTCTCCTCGCCGATGTATTGCTCACTTCGGGGGTGTCGGCCGTGGTGGCGTCCGCGTCCTGGTCAGGTCTGCCGTCTGGGGCAGAGAGGTCTATCCTGGAGGAGGCCGTGGATCGTCTGGTGCTCGGAGCCTTTCTCACCCGCGGTCCCAGCACGGGCGTGGCGGTCATGGGGCTGATGGACTGATAGTTCCGATCGGCGCCGCGTGTGAAGATGCCAGTCCGCTCGTCGGCGCTGCTCTGTCCCTCATCTTCGCGGTCGGACTCGAGGATCCTGCGATGCTCTGGGCTCGACATTGTCTCGCTGCGATTTCGTGCGTCCTGGCGTGGGGGATAGCGTCAGCGGGGGCGCGTCCGGGAGAGGAGGAGGAGGAGGAGAGAGAGAGAGAGAAGGCAAGACAGTGACAAGGGGGGCCGTACCTCTAGTATGTTGCTGATGCGGTCGTTCGTATTGGCGCTTGGGCGATGGACCGGCGGTTGAGGGTGAGAAGACGTGTGCTGGATGGCGTCGAGATTGACCTGGTCGAAGGAGACAGTCCGGCTTATCCTGCTCGCCGAAGTCGAAGGGCGACGAGAGGGAATACTGGGCGAGGGTGGAGCGACAGCTGCGGCGTCTGGGCCTGCCGCTGTAGCAGCGGAGGCGGCAGTATCGTGGCGTTCAGAAGCCATGGCATCAGCGAGCGAAAGCGAGTACAATTTTGTGTTTCTCCGCCGGTACTCTGGTACCGGTTGGCGGACTAGCTGGGTTGTTGGGTCGGTGCTGAATCACATCCGTGCTGTGGTGGGCAGTCGTGCGACAGGGGGGGTCTGACGTGATGAAGCCGTCGCGCGAGCTTAAATGTCGGCAGCGGCAGGCGCTACTTGCCAGGTCGTGGGGGGGCAAACGATCCCTAGAAGGCTGCTTGTGCCTCGACTCGAAATCGTTGTGACGTCGTGCTGTCCCCGGACTTGTCGTTCGTTGTGATTGCGATGGTGAAAGTCGAGCAGACGAGAACAATCCAGTCTTGACTCGAAAACGTTGCCATGTGATGCTCATCAGATGCCGTCCCATGTCGTAGGCTCGTGCCGTGACCCTGGCCCACCTCACTGTGAGCGGGAGGGTCTGTCAGGGTCACAGTGCGCACCACTGTCGACTCGAGCGTTCATTTTAGCGCGGGTCGACGGGACCGATGGGACCTGACGGTGCTTTTGGAGGGTATCGTCGCATCGCGTGGCTGTTCAGGGGATATGAGTAAGGTGCAGTGGTGATGCAAGCTGCATCGCTTGTCAGATTGGCGAAGGTGATCTTCTGGGGAGACTTGGCTCTGGGGAGACATGGAGAAGGGGAGACATGGCGAAGCTCTTGTACTTGTTGCGTAACATTTGGTCGTCATGACGTTGACCTTTGATCTCGTCCCACCCGCGGCAGGCACGGTCGAGCTGGGAGCACGCGAGGGGTCAGTGTGACCAACTGCGCTGTGCTGTGCTTGCTGTGCTTGCTGTGCTTGCTGTGCTTGCTGTGCTTGCTCTGCTTGCTGCGCTTGTGTTCGATCAAGGGCAGTTGCATGTGGGGCTCAGCACGTCCATCGCTCCTTCTACCCTTCACGCTGGTGGTTTCTCAGGCAGGGAGACTGGGGAAACTACCTGCCTTGCCAAGATACCTAAGGCAAGGTAAAGAAACCATAACCCTACCCCACGACGAAGGTACTGTTTGGTGTCTTCCGCTGCTGGCCGACAGCATCACATCACCACGCACACGCCCTACAGCAGTCTGTGGTAGCCGAGATAGGATCTGCTAGACCTTGCGGACGGAAATCGACCGGGGTCCTAGATCAATTACATGTATGTCCAGATCGCGGGGTCAGCCTAGATCTTGCTCAAGCCAGAACTTCACCTCTCCCCAGGGGCCCACGATGTCTGCCATCAAAGTCCAGGGTGTCAACGTCCAGGGTATCAAGGTCCAGGGTATCACAGGCAATTGGGCCAATCAGTTTCAACCCCCTGTGAAGCGTGGAGAGAGACGATGTCTTCCACCGCGCTCTGACGAATGTGTGCCTCGTCAGAAGCTGATACAACTCTCTACCCTCGCAGATCCTCACTCCTGTGCCGCCTCGCCTGCGTGTCCCTTGACATACTTGCTCATGGCAAATCGTATCAATGGCCGTCCCGTCGGGCCTATCGGCTTTGGCATGATTGGTATGCCCTGGCTCTCGAGTTCTCGGCCTCCAGTACATTGATTTAGATCCCTTAGGCTTGACCATGCGCCCTACACCCCTTTCCGATGATCAGGCCTTCGGTGTTCTCGATGCTGCCATAGATGCCGGCGCGAACTACTGGAACGGCGGCGACTTTTACGGGCCCCCTGACAACAATTCTCTCGCACTCCTGAGCCGCTACTTTGAGAAGCGTCCCGAAGCCGCAGGCAAAGTCGTTTTGAACATCAAGTCGGGCATTGCCGTTCTTCCAGCCTTCACACCCACCGGCTCGCCCGATGAAGTCGCCGCCAGCATCAACAAGTGTCTGCAGCAGCTTGGTCCCAGGGGTACCATTGATGAGTTTGAGATTGCCAGGGTCGACGCTAACGTCCCCTACGAGCACTCTCTCCGCCCCATTGTCGACGCCGCAGCGAAGGGCCGTATCGGTGGCGTCAGCGTGTCCGAAGTCTCAGCCAACACCATCCGCAGAGCTGCCAAGGTGACCAAAATCTCCAGCGTCGAGATTGAGCTATCGCTGTGGGAGACTGATGCCCTGACCAACGGCATCACCGATGTCTGTGCCGAGCTTGACATCCCAATCGTCGCATACTGTGAGTGAAAACCCCTGCCTGTTTCGTATTCAGTCTTTTAATCCATGCGTGCAGCTCCGCTTGGCCGGGGCCTCCTCACCGGTGCCATCAGGTCTCCGGCCGGTATCCCCGACGGCGACTTCCGAAAGGTCCTGCCCCGGTATCAGCCCGGCAACTTTGAGGTCAACCTCAAGCTCGCCGACAAGGTCACTGAGTTTGCTGCTCGCAAGCGTTGTACCGCAGCTCAGGTTGCCATCGCTTGGCTCTTGGCGATCGCGCGTCGCCCGGGAATGCCAACGATCATCCCCATCCCTGGCTCTTCGTCGCCGGAGCGCGTGCGCGAGAACTGTGCAGCAGCTGCTGTCGAGCTGAGCGAGGCTGACATAGCTGAAATTGACGATATCCTGGCGCAGTTCCGGCCAGCAGGTGAGCGATACCACGAACATGGGATGCACTTGTTAGATAGAGAATAGGGGCTGCAAACCACAAGATGACATCTTGAGCTTTCCTCGAGCCAACCTGCGTGCCATATGACCAGTTGGCAGAATGCCAAAGACCCCATGATAGATGGCTCTCTTAAATGTACAAATGTTGAAATTATGAGTGGTTAAAAGGGAAAAAAAAGTTTCCCCCGGTCCCCTCCAGGCGCTTTCAGAAGCCAAGGCTCGAACGTGCGCCCCCCTGATCTGTGAGTTTTGAATAAGGGTGCTTCTCATAGGGGAATTTGGAAGGCAGGGTCCTGCCAACGCGTTACGACAACCCACTGCACCACCAGAGACGCGTCCGTCCTGGTGGGAGCTGGTCGGAGGCGGGTGAATTGGAGCCTATAAAGCATCAGGCACGCGGGGTGGGACGCAACGGGATATGGAGGAAGGTGCGCGAGGGAGAGCAAAGGGGCAACAAAGTAGTTGGAAGGCACGCGAAAGCACAGTGTTTGGTTTGAGGGCCATGCTTCTATCTTGGTCGTCTACCTAGCTCAGCCTCGGAACAATACCACAGCCGCGAGCTTTTCACCCGCCGAGGACCAGAGAGAGTGACAGGGCACTATGGCAGATGCGGTGGCCTCTTCTTTGCTGGCCCCTGATGCTGACACGGCGATGCCACATTTCGAGGTGTCGATGTAGATGAGATATGGCTCCCTGGCAGAGCGTTCTGGGAGAGATGTTGAATTTGCACGCTTGGCCTCCTGAAGGATGTCGACGAGACTGATCTCGATACCATCCCGGGACTCGATCGACACGGTACTGCGAACTAACATACCGGCTACAACGAGATGTGATGTGCGGGACGTGAAAGGTCGTCCTTCGCATGGTTCTTCCATGTGACTGGCATGTTCGACCGAAGACGAGGGAACGCCGGCGAGACCGAGGTGTGCGTGCCATTCCACCCCTGACTGACGTGGAAGCTCTTCAACCTCCGCCGCAAAGAATGGCGGGATGAAGGGTTTGTCGTCGCCGTCTTCCTCGAGGGACACTTTCATGACGTCTGAATCCGGAAGAGTCGAAACGCTGTCGCCAGTGGCATCGCCGAATGTCATGAATGCAGGGTTATATTTGCGGTCCCACGGGTCAGGCCCAGTTTCCTCGTCTCCATCCGTAGCGTACAAATGGGCTGCCCGCCACGCTTCGGCGGCAAGACGGGCTTTGGTCCGCATGCCACCCATGTCGTGCGTGCGTGGGAAGTAAGCAATAGCACTGGACCAGAACTGAACATGTTGGTCGGCTGCGATGCGCCAAAGGTGCTGTAGGGACATTGTGATTTGAGCCGAGATGTCGGCTTCGACAGGGATGGCCATCAAGGCAGGCCAGAGAGGGATCTGACCAGCAATAAAGATAGACCTTGTCGTGGTAAGGTCTGAGGAGGACGAGGCGGGCCCGACTAGGGGCACGTCGATAGCTTGGCTGTAGGGGCCAATATTTGCCGGCGCCCAGTAAGATCTTGACTGGACATGAAGCCCCTTTCGGTCGCGGAGACCAAGAGAGGGCTGCACCGACAGATGGATGACAATGTTGCAGTCATCGGGGAGGAGGTCGCCGGAAGAGATGGTGATCCTAGAAGGGGGGTTAGGGTGGCTGAATAATGCCCCATAAATGCTATTGATGGCAGGGAAATCGGACATGCGGCGGAGAACGATGATGGTGTTTGTGATGGCAGTGGTGGACAGCGATGAGTTGGTGAGGAGAGTCTTGATCTTGTCGACCAAGTCATGCGTCTCAGCCTCGATGGTAGACTGGGGACTCAGCCCTTCCGAGTGCACAGTCCAAGAAATCTCGGACGACAACGTCGGCGAGTCGCTCAACTGAAGAGTCTTGCTATGTCGCTGGCTGGGTTTCGACTCGTTCGACACGGACCCAGGCGTCTCTGAGATAGCTTCTGAGACGTAGTCGAACCTGGGATCGAAACGTCCTGGCACGCGAATCGCCCCATCAGAATCCTCTCGTAGCCTATCCTTCTCGCCGATGTAGGCTCCTCGGCAGCTGAGCCAGGACGTACCCCCTCCCTCCCTCACAAGTTTTCGAGCTTGGTCTGGCACGACAATTCTCTTTTGGAACAAAGTGGTCGGCCCGTCGACGACCAGAGTTTCAAACTCGCCTCCCTCGCCAAGAACTGAGCCTTCGGAGATACCGAATTTTCTCAGGCCTCGTTTGATCTTCGACACGCCAGCCGCACAGGTTACCCTCTCCCACAAAAAGTCTTCATCCAGACCTGCACTAGCAACTTTGATGATTCGCGCGTCAAGACCGGCCACTTCCATGTCCAACAGCAACTGGGCGTCATCCGAAGGAAGGCCGCTTACTGCTGGAGGCAGCACCGGGTACTTCCACAGATAGGCGACTGGGGTGAGGCCGAGACGCAAGGCCACAGATTCCACGCGGGTACGCTGGTAGGTTGACAGTATAGCTCCGGCGCAGAGCGCATTGGCTTCAGGATGCCGGTCGATTATGGTGCGTAGAAGAGGTACCATGCTCTCCGTTTCGTCGTCGGCAGCCTGACAGGCATCATAGTCGCGACCCTCGTACTTCGCTCCACCGGCTATAGGCTGGCAGTAGAGAGGGAGCCCCGTGGCTTTGGCGTACAGAGGAATGATCTGGTGGCCTACAGTCTGATACATGAAACTGTTAAGGTCCTCGTCGTCGGTAGCAAGGTCCTGTTCGTCATGGCTGGTGTCAACTGCATCCTGGCTCCCTGATAGCAGCGTATCAGGTTTAACGATACGAGTGCCGTTGGATGAAACCTCATGCTCCGGTGGGGCTTGTTCGTCTACAGACGGCTGCAGGTTCGCCAGAGCGATGATTTTGTGGCCGTTTGCGATGCAGTGCAAGGCTGAGAAGAAGCTGTCTTTGCCCCCCGATATGAGAGCAATGACGTTCAGTCGTTCGGATGCCATGCTGGCAATGTTGCGCCCTTGCTCTAGTTTTAGTCGATCGTCTCATCAATCTCCTCTAGGGCGAAAAAGGGTTCCGAGTGCGAGGTTCCGTCATATTACGACTTTACTTCAGGCCGAGGAGCGCAGAAAACCCGATACCCATGGTACTAAGGTACCTAAGGTACCAAAGGAAGGTTTGGTGGAGAGGGGCCATACAGTGCACAGTAGCAAAATAGAACACGGCCAACCTCACTCACGCTAGAAGTAGCGACCTCATTCATCCTTCCCCTCTCAATTTTAAGTCACTATTTGGCATCCTCCGATATCACCGCTTGACAACCAATTTACATCCCCCTTCATCAATACAAAGGCGTCTTCCATCAAAGCATTTTTCCAAACTACCTGCCGCCCCCCAGGCCGTTCGAAACGACCACCAGCTCGCCATTTCTTGGACACAAAAATCTGCCGTCGTGCGTGATCATCGCCAGCTCCAAACATTCCATATTGATCCAATCTCGTGGCAGGAAAAAGTGCTTCCTGATCTTGACATTTCCCGCGTCAGCACTCAGATACCATGTGCATAGCCAAAAGTCTCGGCCAAGGAACGCCATGGAGCTCGCGCCATCCAGATTCCGCGGCACACCCAATGTCTTCTTCAAGCCGACATGATCAGCCACGAAACCCAAAGGAACCTCGATCTCGCGCAGGATCTGCTGAGGTAACGGCGTTGCGGAGACACTGTTCACAGGCGAAGCTAGGCCTTCCTGACCCGGTTCAAGGAACGCCACATCCATCGTGAAGAGGTCCAAAGTTCGCCTCTCGTCTGGCGATGCAGTGGACTTTTGCACAAAGAGCCATTGTCCTTCCTTGCAAAACATAACTTTGTCAATGGACGCCTCGAGCTCTAACCGTGTCAACGCTTTCGTTGATGACGGTGAGCGTACAAGCCGCGGAACATCGTCATGATGTGCAGACTCGACCGCTTGGAAGTCGATGTGCCATTGTTGCACTGACTCGAGGTCTTCCCAACGATGAACAGTGAGCTCTCGGGGTGTGACGGACAGCAGTGCCTCGTGAAGGAATGGATGCAAGATCCACTGACAGGACTTGTCAAGCGGCCGACTGACTAGGCATTGCCCATTCGTCAGTGACCATACCGCGATATACGTAATGCACCGCGCCAGCAACCTTCTCCCGCTATGGTCGAATAAGAGCTGGCGAACCATTTCGGCCGACTTCAGTTTGAGATCGCTTGTCACGAGCCGGCCCTCTGTCACCGAACGAAGGACGATGTTGCCACCAATGTCCGCCGTTGCAATCTGGCCATCTTCACTCCAAGCTATGCATGACACGCCCATGATGGTCTCGCCTTGGTCTTCAATCTTGGTAGCATCGGCGTCGAGAACCACGCTCAGCATTCCGACCTTGTTGCTGTAAGCGTACAAGGTGCCGTGCCGGCTGTGCGCGAGGCAGTGGATGGGGTCCAGTATGGCAGTCACCGTCTCTTCCTCCGACACCAGAGAGAAACTGGTCGATCCCGGTCGTGAGTCTGCCAAGTCGCTATCGGCATCGTCCATTTCGGCCATTCGCATGAGCGAATTCGGCTCCCAGACGTGGCAGTAAGTCTGTCGAAGGTCGTAAATCCGACGCCCAACAGGACTGAGTGCAATGTCCGTAACACCTAACGTACAACTCAGATGATACAGCAAAGTGAAGTTTTCGAAGGTCCAGACGTTCAGAGATCCGTCTCTGCTAGCTGTGACAAACATTTTCCCATCAGGGCAGCAGGCGAGTTCTGAGGCCCTGAGAGGCTGCTGGGGTTCCCAACTCCTTGCCTCTAGCGGGTGCTACTTGAAGACTGAGCCCTCATTGTAGACGCCCAGCACATGGCCCGTCACAGGGTTCCATGCCAATCTGAAAGTATAGCATGCGCCGCTGTGCAGTCCTCGAGAGAATTCTCCTCTGCGGTCCAGGGTCCCTATGAGCTTACCAGTCTCGGTGTGCCAGACTCTGAGTGGCATGATTCCGCGATACGATATGGCCACTTGGGTCCCATCAGGACTGAAGGACGCGCACGCGGGTGTGGCATACCTGGGCTCCGATGTTGACCTTGAAGCGGGGGGCAACACTTTTGGTACAGTCTGCCAGGCGTTGTACCCCAGCAGGGACATATATCTCACGCTGGAGTCATCATAACAGACAAGAACTTTGCAACACTTCTTGTCAAATGCGACATCCATTGCGCGGAGTCCCTCTGGGTTCAGGAAGTGGCCTACACGTTTTCCACTTTCCACGTCCCAAATTTTGACGGTGTCTTTACCGCATGTTGCCAGACGGTCACCGTCTTCGCTAAACTTCATGGCAAGAATCATCTCCCCGTGTCCAATTTTCCCTATTTCGCGGAACGTTGACGTTGAGTACATGTTGACGGTGTTACTCGAGGCCAGGACAGCGAAGAAATCGTCCAGGCAGCAGATCATGTCTGGCTGATTTGTCTGGCTGGTATTGAACTTGGCGAGCAGGTCATCCCAGCCTGTATTGGAGACCCCTGTAACCTGGAGAGCCGTTGGGCTAAAGTAAACAAACTGACGAGCCATGATGGAATCCGGCGGACAAAATCGTGGTATCAAATTGTGGATGCTGTCAGGGTATTTCACGATGTGGTGACCAAATTTTCCCACGATGCGTACCAGATCGGCTGACCATAAAGCAAGGAAGTCGCATTCCTCACTCGAACGGTCCATAGGGATAGCTTCTTGCTCATATTGTTCTCTTCGTTTGACGAAAAGGTTTAGGTTCTTAGACGTCCTCGTCAAGACGCTCAAGCTGCCATTGAGGCCCACCGCTTCGATCCAGGCTTGCACACACTCTCCTTTAAAGAATTCGACCAAGGTGCGAAGATGCTGTCGATTCAGATGGTCGGCGCAGGCAAGATGCGTGGCCCAGAATATGCAGGCGTACTTCAGCACGCCTACACAGCCATGAGTTTTCAGATGAACTCTGAATTGCGTGTCCATCAAAATATCTAGGCACTTGACGAAGATCAATGTGTGGGCTTCAGCCGGGTCAATCGCAAGTTCACTACCTTTGTCGTGTATTAAGAACTCTTTCGCTGTATGGTGCACAGCTGATACACTGCCTTTCTTCTCGTCGACAACTACCAAATCTCCGCAAAGCCGGTGTACGGTCCGTTCGATGTTGAGAGCCGTGAGCTCTGGGCTCAGTACTTCCTCTACCTGTTTCTCTGTCGCATCGATGAAGTTCCTCTGTGACGAGTGTCAACCAGAGGAAGTTACCCTTCGACTTGCGGAGCAAGTCATCCTTGACATTGTTGACAAAGTTCTGCGGCCATTCGCCGTATGCACCTTCCAGTTCCTGCTCGATGAATAGCTTCTGTCCTTCTCGAGTAGGCACCACTTCAGTCTGGCGGAAATCGGAACCGAACTTATAGCGAAGTCTTTCGAAAGCTCTCAATGACGCCTGGCGCCGAGTAAGAAAGATGATCTTCACGGGGATCGATTGCTCCTTCAACGCAGGCAGGAGGTTGAGCAATATCTGTGCCGACTCGCACTCGTCCACAGCATCGATGACCCAGAAGAGGGGCTCGTCAAGATCCATCTTGGCCAGAAGGTTGACGAATGCTCTTTGCCACACACCTCTCGCATCGTTTCGTGCGAGGGCATTCTTATCTTCGAGAAGTGGGAAGATCTTTCGACGGTACTCTGGCATGCAAAGTGCAATCTGGTAAGCCAGCATCTTGAGACAGACGGCTATCGATCGCTTGGCCTCCTCATTGTAACGAAAGAAGAAATATTGAACATTCTTCTGAATTTCCTCGAGGTGCGTCACCAGGAAGCCGGCCATGACTGACTTCCCTGAGCCCGGAGAACCGGAAAGCTTGAGAATTGAAGGCTCGAGTGAGTCGTCTGAGAGCCAGCCGCGGAAGTGGAGGTCGTCGAGGATCCAGTCGCAGCTAGCTGCCAGGCACATAGAGCTGAGAGACGCGCTCAAGGTCGGCCTTGTACCTCTCTGGCGTATCGATCAGTCCGGACAATCTTTTCCGGATGGATTCGAAGCTCTGCACTGTCGAAGGTCGACGACTGATAGAGATCGCGGCTGCTTCTGATCAGTAAAAAGTAATAGAATAGCCTCAATGGCACCCTACCTTTGGAGGTGACGAGCTTGACAAAATCCCTTATCACACTGCTGACGCTGATGTAATTTTGATCCTGGCGAGACGCAAACTTGCAGACATTGTGATGATTGGCATTCAATGGCCAGCATATCTCGTTGGGATAATTGAGCTTACTTGATGACTCGTCGACGATGAGCTGTGTAGCCAGACACCAGCTGCGCCACGACCATGTTCATTCTGGGTTGGTACTCACACTTTTGATACTGCGGATACTGGTGGCCTGAGTCTCGCGGAACGATGCGAGGTGCATGTTCCTTGCATGCTGAACGTACTGTTCATTGATGCCCACCAGCGCCTCAGAGTTGTGACGCAGCTCATTAATATACTGTTTCGGAGTTTGCATGACTATGGCCAAGAACTTTCTGAGCACGTCGGCCAGGTTTCTGCCCTGATGAGGTGTTGCGAGAAACACCACCCCACGGATAGTGTCAGTCATCGCACTGAACTTTTCGTCGATAGCGCCGAGATTGTAGGCCTGGCGAACGTTAGGTCATATCGAATATCAAGTGTTTCGTAAATCACAGACATTCTTGAATACCAAGCCTCCCATAGAGTGGACGACGAATATGATCGGAACCTGGTGTCGATTAGTGATGGCAGATTCTATGATGATCAGCTTTTACGAGCCTTTCCAATGTCCCAATCCTCATATTCCCCTCTGCCAAACTTCATGGCATTCAGGGGCTGTTCTGCAAAAGCTTTGATATTGAGCGTGTCTTGTGTCGACTTGGTAAAGTTGGCATCGTAGCCGAAGGAGAATATCCTGGCGTCACCCAATTCGGGCTCGAGTGGCAGCCACTCTTTTGGCCAGAATAGACTCAGATCGCGCTCCCACGCCCAGGTCAGACGACTGGAGCCACCGAGTCCATGTACGAAGATGATGTCGACATTCCTAGTTCCGATAGGCTAGTGGAGAATGTGCAACCCCATTGGGTCGTCGGCGCAGTTGACTGACGCGATAGGCGTCCTAGATCGGATGGTGTCAAGTGTGCTTTCACCACGTAGACTATTAGCTCAATGAAACTTGTGGAAGACAGATGTGTTGCTCACGCATTCGTTGCAACAGTAGAGACTCGTAGAAGCGCGTTCGGACTCGGAGTTCGTGCCCTGCTTTGGTGGTCTTCCCCCTCACTGGGAGGCTGCAGTCGATTTTCATTCGGCCGGTCTGCTTCGCCCCGGTTTCTTCTCCTAAATCTTAGGGGGAACTGGGGCTTTTGTCAAAATGTTAGTGATAATATCATCATTCGACCCGCCATTGATATTGCGTGGGCAGTTAAGGACACTTGTGTGACAGACCATACCGCCGCTTCGACTGGCTGAACAGCTCAGCCTTGCCTGGGGAGAGGAATATAATGTGACAGCGGGTGTTGAAGAAGACACAGAGTTTCTTGGACTATTCAATTATAAGAATGAGGATTTCCTCCAGTAAATCGGCCAGTGCTGTCCGCAAAGTTACTTCTGGACTTGTCTGAAAACGTTGGTGTGTAAGTCGGGAGGGGAGGAAGATGGCTCTTCTTGGATAGGGATTACCTTGGACGAAAGCTGAATTCTGGGCCAACATGAACAGAGGCTTCACCTAAACTCGGGCGCGCAATTATGGCGAAACGGCAGCGGGGTAAAAGGCCGGGAGACCACGGCGGCTCTAAGACAGGACGAGGCTCTCTCAGGGTGGGTGTGCCAGCACACAGAACGTCCAGCCTGATTATGAATGTGACAACCTTCGCAGTTTCTGCAAACTGCTGGGCCACCTCGTTTCGGGAAGGCCGCGAAGCACACATTGCTGACATGGGTGCAACCACTCGGTGTCCCAAAGCAGTAGATGCCTCTGATGAAGGGTGTGGAAGGTGATTGAGCTGACGGGAGATGCAGCCCTGCGTTTTTGGCATCTCAGGTCTAGACAATCAAACCGATTCCGCTAAATAGGCCAGTTGCGTGCGTCATCTTCTATTTCACAGCCCTGATGATCATGCATTTTCTGGGCGTCTCAATAGTTTGGTCTACGTAGGATCACGCAGGTCACCTGAATGACAACACAAGTGCATTTTCAGTCGATTTAGTTTGTTAACAAGGCTTACATCGACATCTTGAGTCAAATTTGCTTAACTCTACAACGCCTGCATCAGATTCTGGTTCCTGACCACAACGTTGTCGTGATAAAACCTCCTGGGTGATCATGACAGAGGAGATATTCGAACTGGACCGTAATGGTCGCATCAAGCTGGATAATCAGGTCAAGAAATGTCAGTTGTCGTCATGAGACCCCATCAACATGACTTCCAAGTTCAGCTGACCAAACCAACCAGGCTTGCCTGAAGGCGAATGATTCATCGAAGCCACTGCTTGGGGCGCATCTGCGTGGACGCAAACGGCCAGGATCAAGACGAGGTTGAGGAACAGCACTCACAATACATACTTTCTAAAATGCACGACAGACCCGACGGTCATGATGGAGGGCGAGTTCAATTCGACCACCGCCATGCATAATCTGGTGCCTGATTTTGTACCAAAACCATACGGCTGGGGACGGTTCGCGGCAACTCCTCGTGTATACTTCTTTGTCATGGAATTCTTGAACATGAGGCCCACGATGCCGAACCCCGTGGTCTTTTGTCATCTAATCGCTGAAGTCCATCAAAAAAGCGTCTCTCCGAATGGAATGTTTGGCTTCCCGGTGCCAACATGTCAAGGACGGATCATTCAAGGCAATGTTTGGACTTCCAGCTGGAGAGAATGCTACCACGCTTTAATCACAGAGGCCTACGACGAGGCCATGAAAATCAACGGGCCGTGGGCCGAGTTTGAGGCAGCCTTCGCAAGGCTCAGACGATATGTTATCCCGGCGCTGCTTGATCCTCTCCAGTCACATGGCCGCATCCTCAAGCCTTGTTTAGTGCATGGGGACTTGTGGGAAGAGAACGCCGGGGTCAACATTGACACGCAACAACCCGTCGTGTTCGACCCGTCATGTATGTACGCCCATAACGAGTATGATTTAGGAATGTGGCGTCGCGAGGTCATTCGCTTTGGCCAGCCTTACTTCCGACAATATCTGATGCGCATGCCGCCAAGCGAACCAGCCTCTCAGTGGGGTGACCGGAATCGCCTTTATTCAATCAAGTCAACCTGACGCATTCGGCGCATTAACTTGGTTCGCCAGCCAGAGAAGAGTAGGTTACATGGCATGTTGCTCGATTTGGAAGAACGTGCAGATTGCTGACCCTGCTCCAGCGTGTACAAGGACATGGGCATCTTGATCAACAAGTACGGTCCGCGCCATGAAACCAACGGGCCTTCTGCTACATAACCAACCCAATTTCTCAGTCGGACCGGCTTTTGACCGTCTGAAGGCCTGAGCAAGTGCCTGATGTAACTTACCTACCACAAGAAGACAGATCCAGAAAGAACGAAGTGGCTATCACTGTCGCACCGCGTCGAAGCTGAAAGGCACCAACCAATTTACATGAGTCCTCTCCCCGCTGCAGTCTTGCCACGATAGCCACCCTTTCTACCAAGCCATGCCATTGGAAGGCTGGACAGCCCAAACAGTCACTCTCTTGCTTTGCCTGCGGGTGGCAAAAGGGACTTGTCAGGTGGCACAAACAGGCTTCGGTCCTTCTCCAATCAAGGGTTAGACCTACAAAAGAGGAAGCCGGTTTTGCACGGCGTGCCTCAGCCTGGTTGGCTTTGGCGGATATTTGTGCGTTCGGTATTAGGTCTGTGTCCGTGGTTTTGGTCCTGTACTTTTGTTTGTCAGCTTTACGGTATCCCAATGAACGGATCATGTCGCTTTCCGTCGTCACAGTGTATTTGGGTTGTCGCACCCAGACCTGGGTGCGATAGGTCTCTTCTTCTGTGAGCTGAAGGCCGGCTTTGACCAGAATAGATCACTCGGGAGGCTGTTATGACAATGAGTTTGGACTGTACGGGCAACGTCGTTTCTCCGAGGTATCTGAAGGTAGTCTTCACGTCCTTGCAAATAGTGATGCCCTTGCTCTTATGGTAGGTGACTAACGTGCACTTGGCCGCAGCGATATTTGAGCACGGGTGGAATCAGGGCAAGAACTTTTGCGCGGACATGCTCATCGTATAATCGTATATCTTGAATGACGTTGGTATTTTGGCTAGCCGAGGCTCAGCATACCTGCATGGTTCTCTTGTGTATCTAGGTTTCTTGCCCAGGTCTTTCTTGGGTTTCCCATCACGGCTGATCTACCGGGCTGCCTTGTGGTTAGGGGACATCTCAATATCTACCGGGTCACTACAAGCAGCAACCTCAACACTGGTAGTAGAGATGCTCAAAGAGATTAACCATGACGGCAAAGATTAAGAGCCGTGCATTTACGTAAGATTTCTTCTTCGAACCTCGTCCAAAGTCATCCGGTGGTAGAGGGACCGACAGATGAATCTAGGTAGTCTCTAGTTACAAAACAGAAGTCCCAACTGAGAGGGGCCTTACAAAATTCTTCCAAGTGCGTACTGGTTGTTTGGAACTTTCCCACAGGAGTGTCGTTGACCTCATCGTCCTGACCTAACGCACGGAGAACCTTTTGCCGGCCTCACTGATTCTCACGGTAAGGAACGCAGCCAGAGGCGTGGCCTGCTAACTACTTTCTGGTTACTCAGTAGAACATTTAGAGCCTATTTGGCCCGCGGAAAGTACGACCTGTATCTAAGCAGCGTAAGGTAAAGATGAATCACGGCAGCGTAGCGCTATCATTTTACGAACCGGACATGTGAGCATCACAGGTCACAGAGAGGCGCTTTTAGAATGACTCAACTGAAAAAGTCACTTCAACAGACCCTCAAGAAGCACGATAGATCCGATTGAGACATGATGGTCACTTTTGCAAAACACCCTGAGCTCGCAATGAAAACCGTTCGCGGACCCACGATACCCACAACATAGTTCCCACAGCGGTGCCCGGGCTCCAACAACAAGCAACCTGCCTGCCCGGCTAGCTCAATCGGTAGAGCGTGAGACTCTTAATCTCAAGGTTGGGGGTTCGAGCCCCCCGTTGGGCTCAATTCCTGACGCAACTCGTATGACGAGTACTCGTATTCTTTTTTTTGGCAGTTTGCTTGCTGATGAAAATCTCGAGATCTTGGCAGGATCTAAGTGGAGCCCTGAAATATTCGAGTAGAGATACTCCTGTTGTTGAGACTACTGTCGCTTGCGTCCGTGTGTTGCTGTTCCACACCCGTTGCTGATAAGGACAGCCAAGCAACGAGGGCTCTGTGGCCACAGCGGACTGCACGCTCGTCTCCAAGCGTCCATTGTGCTCGACGACTTCTTCACCAGGGCCCCGGCCTACCGATATTACCGTATCAGTAGCATGTACCAACGGCCCAGCGAAACATCAGATCAGGTGGTTGAGCACCTACTTCGTGACTGGGATGGCCAATGACGACAGATACACGCCACTGTTCCAGTGGTGGTTTATCGTACCATTCAAAGCGTTCAACATGAATACTCTCGTGCCAATAAGAATTCCTCTGCACCATCTCGGATGGTCCTGTGACGACCCGAAGAACAGCCCACCGGGAATGTAAGGTACCGAAGAGGTTGGTGTCGGCTAAGGCTGTGGACGGAGCACGTTGGAAAAGCCGGTGATCATGCCTCATGGGTCGATCTAGCTTGACAAGGAAGCGTTTGATCTACGTTCAATGTTGTAAGCTGCCTATACTCACGCGGAGTAATCATGCGGGAATGCACGTTGCTGAGACGCCAGTTGCTCCGACCTAGCATTGCAACTGCCGAGTCACTCTTGCGAGAGGGTCACAGCGGTCACACCTGATATCGGCCGTGACCGTTGACCCGATGCATTTCTCTCTGTCCGAGGAGAGTCACGAGGTGTTCGTCACATACCGAAGCCTTTGCAGTGGTCGAGGCTTGTTGTGGAGAGGTGAGGTTGCTGGGTTGGCGACACCAATGGCAGCTCAGGCCCATCATTCTTGACACAAGTTGGTGCATGCAGGTCGGAGTAGAAATGTAGAATACAACCGTCGTGGCGGTAGCAGCTGACGAAACCTCGGCCCCGGTGCCCCACCACCGCCGGGCACAGGACCGACTCGGCGCCTGACTCGGGGGCTCTGCTCGGCGGTAGCACTAATGACGAGGGCCGCCTAGTGTTGCTCCTGCTGATAAGAAATCGGTCTCTCGATGTTGTGGCATGGCTCGGTCACATGGCGTCTCTGCAGTGGCACCCTGAAATGTGTCCCAACACCGAGTGAGGTAGCATGGAAGGATGTACATGTAGGGGCAAGAAAGCGCCATCGGCAACGTGGTAGCCACGGCGCCTACGCAACTGCCGCACTTGATCTGACCTGATGACCTGATGAAGGAAACGAAGGTACCTCACTAAAAAGAAGACATGTTCGCGCTAAGCCCATGGCACCTACCTACGTTACCTTACCTTAGGTACCTACCTTACCTTAGGTACCTACCTTAGCCCCCCGAGAGATCAACACCATCAGAGGTCCGAACCGCGGACGAAGCCGTCCCTGCCCGCACTCTGTGCCTGACTTGAAGGCAGCATCCTCTGGCCTAATCAGGTACCTATACATTGGTCCGACCAGGAAGCCATCTCCTCCACACCACCCACCCAACACGAGGAATCTCCCCAACGTCCCGACGCTCATGGCTCAACCTCCCCCATTTGGTAGGTGGGCGCTCTGCAACCCTCAAGTCGCGTGCCTGGCACGACCTCCGAAGTTCACCGCTGCTCGGCGCCTAAGTGGACACGACAACCATCATCCTAGAACCAAAGCGCCACGGCCGCTACGCCAGACACGCCCATAACGCTCGACTCATGAGCGTGCCGCCGTCCAGTGGCCCAAACCTCCCTGCCTGCCTAGCATGCAGGACCTCAGGTACCTTACTTACCTAGGTAGGTAGGTAGGCTCTGAAGACACCCACCTACATTAGGGTGAGGCACCTAGATGCCCAAACCTCGCCACCCACCCACAAACCGTCCCGTAAAGAAAATCCTAGACAAGACCCGGCAGGTCAAAAAGCCCCGAGCGTTGTCAGGTGGAAAAAAAGCAAGCCTCGGACGCCGACTGCTGACTCGGGACCCCCGCCGCCAGACGTCAACCGCATACCACGGCGGCGGCCGCGCGCGCGGTGAGCCCCTCCCTAAAACGCAAGGGAGCATCGCGCCCAAAACCTCTGACCCCTCTGCCTAAAACCTGCCCCGCCCCCTCCTCCGCATCCTCTCCCTGCCTTGCGTCGCGACTCACAGCCAGTGAGAAGGGGAAAAAAAAAACGCGGCCAAACGTCAATGACATGGCAAAACAAACATTGATCGACTGACTCTGACGCGAAAGGCCCAGACTCTCTCTCTCTCTCTCTCTCCCTTTCCCGCCCCTCGAGGTTTTGTTTGTGGCAAATACAAACAGGAAGAGAAAAAAAAAATCCCGAGTGACAGGCAGAGACGTGAAAGTGACCAACCAACAGGAACACAGACATACGCTGTGACTTGGGCGGCCAACGAACCCGTCGTGGTGGGGTTCTTCTTTCTTCTATGACACGGTCGGGTCGCCCAGCCGGTGCGTGGAACGAACGAGGGACCGACCCTTTGTCTCCAAAGGCAGACCCGCAAAGAAACGATGAGACATGTAATGTTCTATCTCTCTTTCTCTCGCACACCCATCTGTCCCAGATAGAGCCAGTGACCTTGAGGGTGACCAGTTCGTCGGCTCCTCGGGCGGGGGCTAGTCGGGGAGGGGTTGGCTGCTAAACCGAACCATACCTGTTGTGCGGAACGAGACAACGTCCGACAAACATGCCCCGAGACACCCCAAGTCTGACGGCCAAGGCCGCGGCAAAGACATGCGAGGTCAGCAGTGGACAGAGGTACAAGTCACAGGGCGGCAGGATCGAGGTGAGGTAGCAGCAGAAGTGTTTGGTTCTTTTTTTCTTTTTATCTGGTTCGCCATAGAGATGCCGGCTGGCAAAGCTCTAGTGTTCGCGCCACCACATGTGTATGGAAAAACTCGTCCTCGACGCAAGGGAGGCAGGGCACGTTCTTTGCTTGTACAGATTGAGAAAGAGACGGGGAGCAGAATGGGATGACGGATGGTCGGTGAACCAGCACTCGCACCATCCGTAGCCGCTTCTGACGCTTCCGCAAATCCGAATCGGTGCAACGTGACCCACACCCAACTCTCCAAGGCCAGAATATATCCATGAAATCCATGAGGAGAGGAAAGAAAGCCAACAAAGCGTAAACAAGAAGAGCAGATTCCAAGGCCGACAACCCCGCCGAGGCCAGCTTGTTAGCTTGCCCGACGGACCGCCTGCTACAGAGGGAATTACAACGAGCGTAAAAGAAGAAGATGCTGCTGAACCAAATTCGACGTCGAAACCGAAACCGAAAAGAAAACGCACGACTAATCATGAGGAGCGAGCAAAGACTGTGCAAGTCGAAGAAGAAAACATGATCCATGCCTTTCTTTCTTTCTGTCTGTCTGTGCTCTTGTGAAACAAAATCCACCGTACACGCCGCGTTAAACCCTCCGGATCCAATTGCCCTTTGCCGCCTCGCTGGCCGAGCGGTCTCTGTGGTCGTCAATGCAACTATGAACGATGCGCCGCTCCACACCAGGCCCTCCGCAGAAAAAAGAATCTTCCGGAGACCTTGACATTCATATGATACATGTGAGGGCCGGCGGGGAGTGCGAAAATGACAAGCCGCTTGAGTAATGAAAAAGAAAAACACTTTTGAAACCAATCCATGCCGTCGTATGATGGATATTCTTCTAATGCGCAACCCCAGTGTCGCGCCATGGTAGACTGTCACGCAGGTCATCCAAGCCCTAAGGCCGGATCTGCGTAAAGGCTGGTGGGGGAAGGCGTGGAGAGAAGATGCTGCTTGATGTCTGAAGTCGTGATATCGTGACGGGGCGTGCACCAGGGGGGGATCACTGCGTGTCGCTCCTGGTGGTGTTGAGGCGAAGAAATGCAGAGAGAGCTGGGTCTTACTCAGCTCGCTTGCGCTTCTTCTTGCCTTGGTCGCTTTCGCCGTCCGATGACGAGAACTCGCTAGCACTGCCGGGCACCTCAGCGGCCACCTGGAAGAGGACCTTTCCGAGATGGTGATAGTCCTCTGCTTGGGGAATCATCATGTTGTCGAACGAGTGAACACCGCCGTCATCGATGAGATCCATGACGATGGCGCCGCTGCCATGGGTTCTGGCGTGCTGGGCAAGGTTGTCACTCCGGGAAAACTTCTTGCCGCAGTCTTGGCATTCAAAAGGCTTGTCACCGGTGTGCAGAGAACGGTAGTGACGCTTCAGGTGCTCCTGGCGGCGGAACCGACGGTTGCACAGCTCACAGACAAACGTCTTGGAGGGGTCCTCGGTCAAAGACTGCTTGCGGCCGCGTCGGTTCGTGGGAGCAGGCAGGGGCGTGGTGGCGGATGGGGAGGCATCACCATCCGAGTTGGAAGACTCCCTCCGCTCAGAAGTGCCTGTGCTCTGCGTAGGCTCAGCAGCGGGCTGGGATTGAATCGAGGCTTGCGTGGCAGAGTCGGCGGAAACGTTCATGGTAGGGATGGAGTCCTCCTCGGAAACCCGGCGGCGCTTATCCTGGTGAGAATCGGCGTCAGAGTGGCAGCTCACTGGGCTGGTGGCACCAGTGATGAAAGAGGCGTCGTCGTCAAAGCTGAAATCGTCGTCGCCGATGAAGCTAGCGTGACCGAGAGTCACGACACTGGAGCCTGTGCAGGCACGGGGCCGCGAGGAGGCAACGTCAGTGCCGGCAAGGTTCACCAAGTCGTTGACAAAGTCGTCGTCCGACTCCAACTCGGAGAGGTCTTCAAAGGAAGGAAGGCCGTGGGGAGTGGCAGAGTTGAAGTCAAAGTTGGGCGCAGCGACGGGGGGGACAATAGCAGTGGACGACGTAGGGAAGGCAGGAAACTCGGCTGCCAGCGTGGGGTTGGAGGCCGCCGCAGTCAGGGCGGCAGTGCCGACGGTCAGGTTGCGAGGGTCGCAGAAGTCAACTTCCTGTCCAGAGGTGACGGACCTGGCATAAGGCGAGGGCGATGGCGACAGAGAGGGGCACGACAGAAGGTCGCTTGCAACCGAGTTGGTGGTGTTTTGCGTTGAAGCTGGGGCAAAGTTGGGCGAGCTGACCTTGAGCGGGCGAGATTGCGACACGGCCTGAGCTTGACCAAGGTACACTGCCAAAACTGGTTAGCGCATTTGTTCTGTGGTGGGTTCCTTTTCCCGCCTCTCGGGCCTTTGCTCCATCGACTGTGCTGCTTGCCTGAGGCGCGACAATGAGATAGCCAAGGCAAGAGTCATCAAAGTTGACTCCATTCACGCCTCGACCTGGGCAAGCGCTAACCAGGGTCGGGGAAGAACACGATGGGTCCCGCCAGCGCAGCCCAATTTGGATTTCCCATCACAACCCGATGGCAAATGGAGGGGTGTCCACCCAAGCAACAGAGGAAAAGAGCAAGAAGAAGTGAAAAATAAGGTGATGGGGCATATAGCGAAAATGGGGATCAATGTTGCGGAAAGGGCTTACCAGGTGTCATCGGAGGAGAGCCGCAGCTGGACCAGTCCAGAGCTACGCTCTCCACAGGCTCAAGCATCTCCTTGGGGTCCTCGAGACCGTCCAGTCCAGAGAACATGGGGTTCATGGGCGTCTGCAGCATGTCGCACGTGTGGGGCGAACTGACGCTGCTACCGGCACTAGACAGAGGCGGTGTCGAGGGGAAATACAGGTTGTCGTCCATACCGTCCGTCTCCAGCAGGATGGTCGGCTTCTGGTGACAAGGCTGCGGAGATGCCACGGGCGTCATGACGCCGGGGCCGTTGCTGTAGAGGGTAGGTGGCGGCGCCGGCACTTGGGAGCACGAAGAGTTTGGGCGAGAGTACATGGGGGTCGAAGGTAGTGTCGGCACCATGGGGTACACAGGGAGCTGGGCCATGGCCATGTGCTGCTGGGGGTGCTGCTGAGAAAAGTGCCCGTGATGCCTGTTGTCGGTCCTAGCCTCGGGTGTGTAAAAGAAGAAGGGCGAGTGGCCCATCTGTGCTGTCATCATGTTGGGGTCCATTTCGGTCCTTGACGTCTGAAAGCTGTTGGTGGTTAACTTCCTGGGAATTACGGCAAGAGGGCACACAGCTGTCTGGTACGGGCGTGAACCTACCAGTCGATGAGTTATCTTGCGAGTGAAGCAGTCGTTATGCGTGATCTTTATCGGGTCGATTATGCGAGTATAAATAGTATTGCTACTTTACACGTTCCTGAGCGTGGAACTGTCTGGTGTCGTGGTTGCTTGGGGTTTGGTGGTTTGTCTAAAGATGGTGTTTGTTCGGTTCCTAGTGATAAGGATTGGACGACGGTGGCTTGACGAGACAAGGACACTGTCTAGACGACTCGAAATATCGTGATGGGATTGTAGTACATGAAACTCGTCCGAATAGTCTCGTGTGGTTGGTTCTTGATTATACCGAGGACTGGTGCGGCGGGAGCGGTTACTTGCGTGTGCGTTGAAAGGATGGACGGGGCTGTTCGATATATGAAGAGTCCCAAAGAATGATGTGTTCGAGTCACAAAAGAAGGAGGAACCGAGCGGTCATGAAGAAGAAAAGGGATCGCACAGGCACATCAGGGTCGAGAGACAAGACTGTCGATCATGGATTGCCAGGAATCAAACCAAAGGCAGAGTGAGCGAGCGTGGGTGGTGACGGGGGATATGTATCTCGAGAGCCCACATTGATCAACCCAGATGGGCCCCAGCGATAAAAGTCATCGATAGGTAGATGGAGGGGACCTGGCATCGGCACGCCGGACCCAGTCTTGCCAGTGAACGTCCCCCCGACCCTCCACGCCGCCCATGTCTCACTCAGTCTGACAGGGGTCAGGGAACACTTCTGAAGGTGCAGGGATACCGACCCAGGAACGAGAGGGCGGGCAAGACGGCGCAGTAGAGTGCCCACCCTTCACCCCTGTCTCCGTCGGCGTGTCTGGGGCAAGTGGAAACTCCAGATGGGTGTGGTGGGCTGGCCCACCACGTCCACGTCCGCATCCTTCTCCACTGTGCTGGTCGGTCGATGGCGAAAGGTCTCGCTGTCGTCGTCGGCGGTTTTGGTGGTGCGAGTACTGTACTGTACAGTAGCTGTGGTGCTTCGCTCCTCCCACCCGTGTCTGCACCCACACAGGGCTCCCTCAACCAAACTTTGCAGGCACACACAACCTGCCCTGCCCGAACAGAGAGGTGCCTGATGAGGGCCTGGGGGGGCGCAGTCACTAGCCCTTTCTAATTCTGGCCGCGACACCAGCCCTCCCGGATGTACCGCGATATGACGGGTACCCTCCAACGACTGGTGACCTGTCTCTTGTCGTCTCTCGCCCACCTGGCGTCGTCTCTTCAGTCCCAGCGTACCGAGGTGGGTAAATGTCGAGGTACCTTGCCAGAGAAAAATACTCCCATAGAGAATACGATGTGGGCATCCATTATGCCGATGCATATGTGAACCCACCAGTCCATACGAGAAGTGGACATAGGGCGAATCGTCATGAAAGAGAATCTGTCCACAGGACTGACCAGACCTGCCAGAACAGAGAGAGGTCATCATCCTCTTTGGCGCCTCGCTCTCTTGACGACAGGCAGCGCACGAGTCGAGGCACGACGGTACCAGCTACGGACGAAATTGCCGCGCAAGCCGGTCAGCGCAGGACGCATTCTGTAGATGTTGCATGCTCGAGTGGCACTCAGATCATCCATCACCAGGAACCCAGCGGCATCGTGCTATCGACGGTCGCGCATCTTGTTGGCGAGCAGGCACATGCCATGGCCCATCCTCGCCTACATCGCTAACGGCGCATGTATCTTGCTGGGACAGGTACATTGAGTGTCCCTGGATCCACTAATGATTGTGAAGGGGGATGAGACGACAGAGGCCAGATTTTCATAAACATCCCGCTGCGCTGAGAGACAAGTGCGAATTGAAAGAGCTGGAACCCATGTAACTCGGCTCTGCATAAGCCCGGGGCTCGTGTTCGCTGGTGCTCTGATAGGCTCCAAGGTGTGGATAATATGTGCTCAGATGAATAGCGCCAGCCATCCAGCTTGCACAAATGGCGCGCTCTATTGGCATTCGTCCGCTGGGTGCTTGTGCGCGCGCGTCGTCCGTGTTGTCTAACCGCAGGAGGTGGGCACAGGCATTCGGTTGGTGGCCTCTACGTCTCACACAATCCGACGATCGACCAGTCGTGTCGCCGAGGGCCTTACCATGTATGCAAGGCACAAAAGTAATGAATGCGCGCACTAGCCTCTAGCTAGTGACTGAGTGCTGATCACAAGCCCACCGATGGGCGTTGCGCCGCCTGCGTGCCGATCACTGGACCTGTCGCGCATCACGCTGGTGCTCTCTCTCTCGCGCGCGCGGAAGCGCCGCTCTCCAATGAATACTTCCTTTTGGGTTCTCTGGGGCCTCCTGCCAGGATGACGACAAACCCCGAGCTCCTAGAAGAAGTGCATGCCGCTCTCAGTGGCAAATCGTGACCCCTTCATGCTTCCAGCTGGACCGCGTTTGACGCTCAGGTGCATGTTCCCCGAAAGAGGGCGAAACGTCCTGCACTGTGCAGCCCATGGCAGACGTGACTCCGTTCATATTGATCTCTGAGACGGATAAGCCCGAGGCATTGAAGAGCGAAGCTGGGGGGGTAAAGCAGGACGTGTCCAGTTCATGCTTTGGTCTTTGCAAACCGTCTCGCGTCCTGTCCGCACGGTATGGAGGTCTCCGTGGGCTGCGGTTGAGAGGAGCTGAGCGTAGGTAGTTGTCCATCCTCGTTCACCTTAGGTCGCCCAAAGCGTCCGATGGGCCGGTTGTCAGCGGGAATGGGGATGGACATCTCCCAAACCAGATCTGCAGACACATTGCGCGACTTGCACCACCATGATCAAAGGCGACAGCCCTCGGTCGGTGCTTGGTGCTTTCACTGTGCCTGGTCACCAAGTCTGACTGGCCATCACAGAAAGCGATCCAGCACCTATCACCGAGCGGCCATGGCGATGCGTCTCTTTGGAAGGGTGGTGTTGAGTCTTTGTTGGCCCAGACATAACGGTGTCTCTTCTTGGTGTGGCATCCAATGCGAGGGGTGTTCACGCCTCTGGCGCGATTACTGCGTGGCGGAACACACGACGCGAATCCGAGGCTTGAGATGCAATCACTCACTAGCACTTTCTTCGCACCCGTGCATCCCTACGCAATCTTCACACTGCTCGACCCGCCACTCAACAGTAAATAATATTAGCGGTCGCGCGCTTTAGTGTGATCAGATTGTCAACCGGCGGCTGTTGTGATCGATACGTCGTTGAAAGCGGTGTTGTTGACGAGAAATGTCGTCATTGGAGAGGATGAAGATGCCGCCGTCCGTTGCTACCAATACTTCGTCCAGGTAGAGTTCTCATTCCGGGTGATAGAGGGCATCTGCATTCATCAGCCAATATTGGTGACCGACAAGTCGTTGCTGTCAACCATGGGGCAACGGCAACTGAAGCGCCTGATCGGACGATGTTGGGAATTGAAGAACAATACCAGAGGTATTTGTTTGGTAGGTAGAAGGACCATCGTGGCACATACCAAATGCATCACCTAAGGTACCTTAGACATTGGTTGTTTTCGTCAAGCTTCTTGGGCTTGTCCTATTGTTGCCGCCTGGGTCATCGTGGTCTTGCCTGCCAGACACCCAAGGGAAGGCAGCCCTTGCCTGGACTCGCCTTGCCCTCCTTGCTGTTTGCCCCCGTCGCCCGCCACGGGAAGGTGTCAGGGAAGCGAGGGTGAAGGAAGGACCAGCCCCCGGTAGACTGAGCATGAGCTCGAGTCTACTGTCTGTACCTTATGGTACCTTAGGTACACAGGCTGTGGAACGGCACTGATCTAGGGTCTTCCATGGTCTTGTCCGTCATCCATTGATGATGCTAATGCTTGTTGCTTGTCACCTCCACCATCCCGCCGCATCATGACATATTGTCTCTGTCCAAGCCAACCTGGTCTACAAGCCAGCCCCTGCGGAATGCGCGTGCGCCCAAAAGCCCTCACAAGACAAGTCAAGCAAGCCGATGTCGAGTTCCGATGATGACAGCTCGACCAACTATTACAACAAGGCAGACAGCTATCGGCACAGGCTGTCGTTAACTTTACCGACTCAGGGCCTTGGTCTTTCAATGGGGACACCAGCCCACGTCGGACGACGGTTCGAAGTCAATTGACGGCGCCTCAGGAATACGAAAGGATATTCCCAACACCTGAGCTCAAATGACTGGAGGTACCACACCACACGCGAGAGAGAGAAAACGAATATGGAGATTTCCGAGACTCCCTGCTGAACGATGAGTCGATCCAATGATGAGCTGCGGCCCATCAACCACGCCGAGTTGGCGCTATGTCGAATCGGACGATAGACGCAATGCGGGCTGCGCTGGACAGAGGATGAAACATGAAACTCTCAATGGACACCTTCCCTTCATTCGCTCAGCATGGTATGGACTCTGCGTTTGGGTCGCCGGCTGAAGTGCTGGCGCCGGCAAAGTCCACAACAGACAGCAATGTGCACACCAAGTTGACGCCAAACCGAACGTATTTGGTCTCCCACTCCGGTCGACAAATCACCTCGCAGGCTTTTCAACAGCGCGCCCAGTCTGTAAGGTACCCGCGCCGGTGACGCCACCAACCCGCGACCTGGCGACTTCTTTCAGCGAACCTGAGCGCGAGATACACATAGCTGAAGGGTGACATTTCGTCAGATAATACTTGAGCAGAATCAACTGGAGCGCTGGCCAGTTGGTGTCTCTGGCTCTCGAGATGTGGTGCCCACCACCCCCCCCAAACACGTTCTGCTGATGATGCTTAGATTTTTCCATTTATTTGACTAATACTTCTGATCTTCGATTATTGTCATGCGGGCTCGACCAAGCGGTCCGGCTGCACCCCCCCAAAAAGATTCTAGTCACCAGCTCCAACCAGCCAAACTACGGCTATGATACCTTCCGACGCCCAACGCTATTGCGCTGGCCCTTCTTCGGTTTGGCCCGCGTCCACTGGAAGACGCCCGTGACGCCCGCACTTGTGCCGAACTGAACCATAGTACGTAAGCCATGTCGCCCACGCGCTAATCTTTAGTTGAGACGTTAGCTCTGCATAACTCAGGCACAATGTGGGATGCATTAGACTGACTGCTGGAACCGACTCCATCAAAGTGCGACTCGGACACAGTAGGCATTACAAGTACAAGCGAAGCTAGACAACGGGCAGCACAACCAACAAGGAAGTTCTGGGGCTGTGCTGCAGCCTCCTCTATCAGTGCATGGCGTGTTTACGACAATCGGCCGGTCCTATGATCCGCGTCGTTATTATGCTCGTTACGACCCACATGCATCCGACTTGTGTCAATGTCAGGGCCACGCCACCTGCATTTAGGACGCTTCCACATGCTGGTCACTTGCTCTGACTTGGGTGGACTGTTGGAGCGGTCACAATCATATGCATGGGTTTGCATAATCACACACATGCAACTGATCAGCCCACTGTCACAACTTGCCTAGATGGGCCAAGTTCACACGCCGCCCGAGTGGTGATCTTCATTCCCGGGCGCTCGAAGGAAGGACAGGGAAGAGTCCAGCCTCTCATGCAACCTTGAGGGCCGACAGAGCAACACTATCGGGCACGAGCCGTTGGCTCTTCACAAGTA